GAATAGCCCGTAAGTATATAAAGTTACCCATAAGTAAATCAAAAGCTAAGTAAGACCTTATAATATTTCTGGGTATACTATATTATTTATATGATTTATATTAGGAAGTAAAAGAATATAAAGCCCTACTTATAAGATTACCCGTAAAGCTACTATATAGAACTAGCCATAAGAAAAGACCGGTAATTATAAATCCATTCCTATTACCTTAAATAACTAGCCCTATAACTTATTAATAGTTATTATAAAGGATAAAGCAAATAGAAACTACTTATAGGAGAGTATAAAAGATAGTTACTAATCCGTTAACTAGAGCTTAATCTATAGAATTATCTGTAATTAGCTATTAAAGTCGCTATCTAGTAGCTATATACGAATCGAGAACCTCCTAAAGCTATAAATCAATATCTATAACCTGTTATAAAGCCCTTCCTATAGATAGAGATTTCATAAGAGTATTACGGGTATACTAATCTTAAATTATAGCTTAGAAAGAGGTAGATCCGGTAAATAGATATTTTATAAGACCTCTAGTAATAATTCTATAATCTCAGGATCTGCCTCGTTTATATTAGCCAAATCTATTATAAAATATATCTATTCCTGGCCAGGAAATATATCCAGGATTATTTAGTTAAGCTTACGGACCATATTATTCAGGGTTAATAGAATTACCCGTCTACTAAAGGCCCGGTAGTTATATAGGGCCCGTAAGAATTACTCTTATAAATAGATATAATTAATTAGGTCTATAACTAACTAGGTATATAGAATAAAAGGCAGGAATATAATCTGCCTATTTAAAAACGAATTATATAGTAGATAACTAATCCAGTCTATAAAATCCTATTCGGACGGGTTATTATAGACCCGTATATTAATCTATAATAATAGCTAATAGAGCTATAGCCAGATCCATATCTGCTATAGGCAGGCCCGTACCATATTAGCCTGCAAATCATATAGAATTACTAGTAAGATCTGGGCAAAATCCCTCCTAAGGATTACAGGTACCTCTCTAAAGAGAATATTATCCGTAACCGATTATAAATCGACTATTAGCCGGTATACTACCTCAAAGTAGTACTTGTACTATATGGGTACCTTATCCCAGATAATTAGGTCTATAGATTATAAAAGAGCCCTGAGCTAGCTCGTTTTAGTAATTATACTTATAGATAACTTATTGAATTCAAGCAAGATCCGGAACTAGAAATAAGACATATATCTGTCCGGGAGAAGGAGAACCATAATACCCGTTAATACTATATATAGGATTACCTTACCCTGGCTATAGTAATAATAGTAGAGGGTTTTATAAAGAAATGTCTTACTAGTCCCGCCCGGGCCTTATAAGTAGAAGTGAGCCGTCTATAAATCGTCTATAATTATTACTATAATTATCTGGAAGTAAGAATACTAGTCTATATTTAGCTAGGCTTATATTATAGTTACTAGTAATATCTTATAGGTATAATTAACCTGCAGATTAGCTATATAGTAGCTTACGGTCTAGTTAAAGGTATTCTCAGGCAGAGTAATATCCATTAGTATCTGCTAGAGATCCATAAGGCCGAGACTAAGTAAGAAGAGGCCATAATTATAGTAAGAATTAATTAAGGGTAACAGGAAGTTAATTAACGGATTATAGGCAAGCTTATAGGCCAAGTTATTATAGAAATACTTCTTATACCAGTCCCAGATTATTTATATATTTATAATTAGCTACTAGCGGATACCTATAAGAAAAAGTATCTGTAAACTATAGCCGGTTATTAATAAAATAGCCTTATTAAAATACTAGAACTACTTCTAATCATTTTCTACTAAGCTATAGGTAATACAGGTAGTATAGTATATAGGATAACAGATGCCCTTAACTAAATAGAGCTCGTTAAAAGACTATAGACTATATATAACTATTAGTAAGAGCTATAAGTAGAACCGCTTGCCCGAAACTGGGCTATAATAATAAATACGGCTAATACTATATCCTTACTTATAGGGCTTCTATATCCGGGTCTTAGTAATCTATATAAAGTACTATAGGAACTTATAGTAAAGGTACTAGCAGCCGTCCTTATATATTATATTATACTCAAAGAAGGCTATTAAGGTTAAGCGGGTATTTATAGCCTGGTCTGTAATCTATTCGGGTAAGAGGTTAGTCATAAAGTAGACTATATACTATTCTGGGAGGTAGATTACGAGATATTAAACCGGGAGGAACTCCTGGTATATTAGGTATTTAAACAGGTACTAGAAAGCCTCTATAGGGCCTATATACTAAGCCTGAAAGTACTAGATAATCTTATTATTCGTTCCCGAGATAGTAATGGTTATATGGTCTATTTCCTTATAAATATACTTATAGATATACTTGATTACTTATACGGATATATAAACCTCAATATTAATATATAAGCGGAATTTCTAGAAAAGATACGAGTTATACGGAATAATCTAGTAGTTATTATGGATAACTTCCTGGCCTAGAAAGCCGGGTTTATAGACCGTAAATATATAGCTATTATCCCGGTACTAGTACTCGGGATATTTATCCTTATAGATAATTATTATAGCTATAAATATTTTGGGAAACCTCTTCTGGTATATAAGTAGGGCTATAGGTATACTATAGGCCATATATAGGGCTTTCGGATTATTATTAAGGCTATATAGCCCGTAAGATATCTGGCTAGTAATTATAGCCATAAGTTTGCCTATAGGATCCTATAATAGGTCTGGAAGCTCGGTATAAATAATCTTATTAACTAAATTAGGGATTAAGAAGACAGTATCTCTTCTAAGAAATAAGAGCAGGTATATATACGGGAGGCTATACTTCTGGTACTTAATTATATATATATGGCCCGTATACCGTCCAAAAAGGTAGTTCTTGAGGTCCGTAAGAAGCTCTCTTACTTTTAGGATAAAGACCCGGTAAAGGAGATCCGGATAATTAATTACTTGCTACCCGTTTAAGAGGTAATCTGTAATCTCAGGCTAGTATAGGTTAGTTATAAATGTAATAAAGAAGCTTGGCTTACTAAAGTACTATATAATAGCTATTAAGTCTTAAAAGAGCTACTATATAAAGTAATTACTGCCCGTAAAGCTTAACGGGAGAATAAAATAATAACTAATATTACCCGTACGGATATTCTTATAGATTAGAGTATTTATAAGTCCCGTATAAATATCCGTATAGATATTCTACTAGTATAAATAGAGCTAGTCAAGCAAGGTCATCTTATAGGTAATATATATATTAATAATATACTACTAGAAAAAATAGCTAGTATAAAAGAGCAGGGAAAAGGCTAGACAGATATAGAGGTAATACTAGTAAAAGGCCTATTATTTGAACTATATTTACTAGCGGATCCTAGTATAGTCCTATAACTATAACTTATAGTACTAGTCCGGATTACTATATAGGAAGAGCAAGATATAGTAAAGCAGTATATATACTATATATATAATATTAATTATATATAGCTATAGATACTTGCGGCCTGCCTTACGGACTATTAGTACCAGATTACGGCGGCTCGTATTCGTATACTCGTCCGGAATTAGAATAGTAACCTTATTACTTATAGGGAGGTTCTTATAATAATAATCTATATCCGACTCGAGAATCAAGTATATCTATAGATTAAGTAAGACCCGGAAATCGGTTTACTGGCTCGTAAGACACTTACAGGCTGTCTTATAGACCGTAATAAACGGGTTATAGTCCGTAAGTATATCCGTAAGCTATAAAAGAACTATATAATCTAAGGGAGGAAAGTTAGTAGCCCGGATATTAGTTACAAAGAGCGGGTTATAGAAGAAGAGCTATATAAAGGAGGATTTGGTATATATAGTAGGCTATAGCAGGTTTTGGAAGTAGAAAAGCTTATTATAGATCTAAAAGTACTAGATCCTATAGGAGAAGTTAATCCGGATATTCTTCTTATAGCTAATTAATATAAAGGTAAAAGTATAATTATATATCCGGATATTTGTCTAGAAAGCCCGGTAGAATAGGTTATTGCCTATAAAGAGATAAAAAAGGTATAGAAAAGGCTTATGAATTAGAGGAAGTATTATATTACTCTTCTTATAATAGGCCTTAAAGCAATTATCTATATAGCTAAAATAAAGGGTTCTGCAAGCTATATAATAACCCGTAAGCAGACTAGTTATATATACGGGAGCTGGCCAGAAGCGGGAGAGGAAGGTAAGAGGCCATATAGGAGGTAGGTTAGCTAGAGAGTCCTCTATAATATAAACAGGGGCCGTAACGGACGGTTAATGGATCTATTACTGGTACTATAGGGCTGGCTCGTCCGCAGAAATATCCGTAACCGACCATTATTATTACCGGAAGGTAAGAAGGATATTCGGATCGAGTTCTTATAAGGCAGAGTACTACTAGATATAATTAGTAGTATTTCGGGCCTATTAACTAGTTAATTAAGCCAGAAAAGGGGGAGGATACAAACTCAATAGTAAGAGCAAGTCTTATATGGCTTAGCCCGCTCTATAATAAAGTCAGAAGCAGGCCGGTTCTGCTTATAGGAAGTATAAAAGCGGAAAGGGTCTATAGTAATAGAGAGAAGAAGGAGAGGAGAGTAATATAAGGTCAGGATTTTTTTTTAGTACTTTTTATAGGGCCCCTAGCTTAAGATTTTCCCCCGAGCTTTAAAAAATCGCAAGAAAAGCCCCTTGTATTCCAGAACTACTAAAATAGAGAGAAAGGTACTTGAGCTTCTCCTCTCTAATCCCCAGCTGAGCCCTAAGGATTTGGACGGAATCGCGTTCCGATATGCGATTCCCTAGAAGAGGGCGATTCTGGTATTCCTTATGTGACCCGTTTTTTTTTACGGAGCCCCGTGAGCCAACCGCTTAGGGTGGCCTGAACGTAGGACAATATAGAGAAGAAAGAAATTTAATCGTAAATAAAGCATTGTTTTTCGAGAAAACAAGGCACTCGGTGAACAGTTTAAAGGACCTCCTCAACAAGGCCCATCCTCACATCCTTCGATCCACCTTTCACAAATCCCACTTATCACAAGCCTTGTAATCAAGATGGCTGATCCACGAAAACCCCAACCCAAGCAAGAATCAGACCCAGAGCCAGATATCCAGGTGGTTTCGCACACGCCGCAAGAGTGGAACCACCTGCGAACAGAGAGCAGTCGAGGTCAACTCTTACGAGATCTCATCGAAAATGGAATGGGCCCGACAATTGCCCGGGAGCAAGTTGAGAAAGACTTCGCAAAGCGCGGATACACTCGCACGGCGAAACCTCCGCCCCCACCATCTTTGGAACCTTCTCTAGCATCACTTCCAGCGCGACCAAAGCCTTCAAGTCAGAAACCCTGGGAAACGCATCCATCGCCTTCTGCAACAACGAGCCCCTCTCCGTCAAGTCAGATGGAGAGAAACAAGTCGCCTCAGCTGCCGAGAGCAGGTGTTCCATCATCTGCTCCGACAACGAATCCGCCTCCATCTAGCCGTATGGGAAGAGACAAATCCCCTCAGCGGCCGAGATCAAAATCGCCAGCTCTATCATCCCCAACTTCTATGACGGTAAGAGTTGAGCCTAGACCAAAGACCAAACGCAGCTCTTCCCACCGAGATAAGAAAGAAATCCGTTCCTCATCCTCATCAAATTGCACGACTGCTCCGCCACCAAACACACGACCAACTGCTCCATATGCATCGTCAGCTTCTATGGCGGAGGGAAGTGAGTCTCGATCAGAGAAAAAACATCGCTCCTTCTATCCGAAAAGCAAAGCAACCTCTTCTACATCTTCAAAACGCACCAACGCTTTGCCACCCCAAACGCGAAGCTCTCCCTCCGCACGGAATCGAAGACCACGATCTCCGCCCTCTCCAGTGCGGGTCCGCTCGCCTTCTCCTCAGAGCAGCCACCGCTCTCATCGTCCATCTTCTAGTCGTAGTCGATCCCCGTCCATTTCAGTGTGGATACCTCCGTCTTCTCGTCGAAACAACAATCACCATCCTCCCCCATCTTCCAGCCGCGGTCGATCCCGATCCCGATCCCGATCTGTTCAGAGCAGCTATCGCCACCATTCCCGATCCACCATCCGTGGCCGAAGTCCCTCTATTGCCGCAAAGCCTGAGAAGGCGGACCCGGACATGGACGAGCAATGGCGCAAAGACGTCGAGCGAGAGAGACAGAGAGAGGAGCAGGAAAATATTGATCGTGGAATCAATCCAACCCTCGTAAAAAGCATGGCCGACGAAAAGTACAAATTTGTCAACGGTCCTCCGCCTCCTACGAATTATCTCACCAATGAGGAACGGAAGACCATAGATAGGTTGGAGACGTATCATGCCGAAAGAGGGTACATATTTCCGCCGCCAGGTACTGAGTATTGTGACAGGGCGTATGTGTTGAAGGCGTGGATAGAGAAAAACCCAGAAGCTGCGCATTCCCGCGATCCTATTACCTCGCACAGCTCTCCTGGTACAGGAGGTGGAAGTAGAGACCGTAGAGGGCATTATCAGTCTAGCCCAGGCGCAATTAATTCAGATACCAGTTCGAGTGAGGAGACTCTACCCCTACTCGGACTCGCCAGCTTAGGTCAGAGACTGCAGACCACGGAGGCCGCTTGTCACTTGAGGATAGGGTATCCAATACCTCCACCGGGTACAAGCCTGGTTGTGAGATTTAGCTTGCTCGACGATTGGCAAGCCAGGAGGGATATTTCATACGTAAGAACACCCGGCATAGCGGAACTTGCAGCACGATACACCGGCATGTCACCTGCAAGTACCGGCTTTTCAGCAATGGGGGCAGGCGGTGCTCTGTTGGGAGGTGGGAGACCACATACACCACGTCCTGACCCTGACCAAGACGCATTGGTTGACAAGCTTGAAGAGCTGAGGAAATTGTTGTGGTCATGATGGAGGGGATGACTATTTCGTACAATAAGACTAACGCGACTCTTGACTCAAAATCCGACTTGGACTCTTATTACTTAGACTCTAACAGTCTGACTCCGACTAATACCCTCAGCTCCGGCTTTAGAGCGAACGCACTTAGTAAATTGCATCAGAATCGTGGCTTTTCTTTTGGAAAGCAAGTAATCAATTGTGTTGGTTTATCAGCCTCTTAGCAGGCTCGTAATAAAATATTCTCTAACCAAATCTCTCTTTCATGCTTCCCTACAAGAATGTGACCCAATTAACAAGTAAACCTTTATGAGACACACGTTACTCTTTAGAAGGAGTAGATGCTTCCAAATGTTCGACACCCTCCTCAGTCTTCGCCGAATATTCGTTCTGATGAGCAAATTCTAATCCAATGTCAGTACTCACATCATTCTTACATTTAGGAAGCAGGTCCGAGAGTAACTTACGATCAACTCTAGTATGTTTGAACTTCCTAGCCGAGACGTGGTTGTCGAAGAGCAAGTCGATCTCGCCAAATGTGCGGTCTTTGGTCTCAGGAAGTCGGAACCAGCACCAGATGAGGCAAAGCAGGTTGGTGCCAGCGTAGAAGAGACCAGTTTTGGCACCCCAGTTCCAGGCTAGGAGGAGTCAACAGGGTAACCATACAAAAGAATTTGAAAAGTTGAGACTTACCCGTCGGAGAAATCATGCGAGGGGTAACGGAATTGCTGAAGATTCCGGTGAGATTGTAAACGAATCTGCCGATGACAATCGTCTTGTATCTCAATCTTCCGGATGGCGTCTCCGCAACGATTGGATAGCAGACAGGTCCGATGGTGATCATATTAATAAGCGTGGAGATGACCAGGAGAATCCCAACCGCGAGCTGAACGCTCTTTCCCTCAGTGAAACCGAGACCACCGATTGCTACGAGGATGAATAACATGAGAAGCAGGCCAACCATATAGATAGTTGAGCGGCCAAAGTGAGGGAATAGGGCCCAGCAAATCAAGCCGCCAATGATATAGCATGCGGAGAGAGAGATGTTGATGTCGAATGCTTGGACTTCAGAGAAGCCAGCGCGTTCGAGAAAGACGACCGAGTATCCGAGAATGGCGTTACCGCAAAGGATTTGTGCAGCCCAGACAACGCAATTCTAAAATGAAGAGCGAAGTTAGTTCGATGTTCACGTCGGTAATTTGTAGAAGAATACTAACAATTTCTGTTCGGCGCAGATTGGTGCCCCGGAAGCACTCCCAGAAACTGGCACCAGCGGTCTCGGCCTTTTCGATTGCGGTTGTGTGCCTGATATATGCCAATGTAGCTTCTACCTCGCGGACCTTGTCCGGGGTGCCTTGACGAAGGCGCATGAGACTGTTTCTCGCCTGGTCGATCTTGTTGCGTCTGACAGCATTCCATGGAGATTCAGGGGCAAGGTAAGCGCCAATAAAGAGAGGAACTGGCCAGACCCATTGAAGTGCAAAAGGAAGTCTCCACCCGAGATCACCATGAACGCTCACCACGGCGCGGACGACGCCGGAGGAGAGCAGGATACCCGCACCCCAGCACATGCACACATATGCTGTAACGTATGATCTGAGGATAGTAGGAACGACCTCGCAAGCATATGTCGTGGAGAGGGTCTGCGCGCAAGGTTTTCGTTAGCTGGGATACATTGCTTTCATCGGGCTTCGAGCTGTACCTGGAAAACACCCCAGGGAATACCACACATTGCTTCACCAAAGGCCAAGACGTTTAGAGACGGCGCAAAGAATGGGATGAAAATCACGATCGCCAACCAGGCCATGAACGCCATCATTGTTGGTCGGCAACCAAATCGGTCTTGAGTGTACGCATTGATGAGAAGTCCCGCCAGCTGGCCGACAAGAGCGGAATTGGACAAGCCAGATTGCCATGGTGCAGGGATGATATTATGGCCTTGGTCTGCATTGTACACTCCAAACCGATTTTGGAACTGCGTCTGACCGTAGAAGGAATTGATCTGTATTGGGAATATTAGTACAGATGTTCCGGACTACTTCAACTCGAGAGGAAGGGAATAATGGTACGTACAATGACTAGATCATAACCCTCCATGATCAAACTGGTAGACAAAAACATAGCCCAGAAGACGGCTTTCTTGTATTTCTTCAGAGCCTGCATAATTGTGAGAGCCCGGTCAGCTGCATCGCTTTCCTGCGCTTGGTGGATGAGCTCGATGATTGTAGGGTCGTTCAGGTCAAAGCCCGCAAGCTCCTGCACCGTGGGGACGACCTTTTCGTCCTCCATGTTGAATCAGATGTTGTTGATACTGAGGTGACAAGTGTAGGAGTCTGGGGGGAAGTGATTATAACGAGCGCACTCTGAGATCTGCAACCTGGCGATCAATTGAATTCAGAATGAGGAACGTGCGGATGGAAAAATTTAAGTAAGAGAAGCTACCCATGTTATATATGCGGCCTGCAGGGTCGAGGAGCTCTAGGAACCTGATGTTGACAATTGGCCGATTGGCCGCCCACCGGGATGTGGTGAGGGGGCGCACCACGCAGGCCCCGGTGGGGGTGTAGCGAGCGCGGAGTAAGCCTCCAGTGGGCCGTGGGAAATGCGGGGTTTGCGGTGGGGTCCCACAGTCTCAAGGCCGATCTGGGGAACAGAAAGGAATGCTATAAGCGCTTCAATAAGCACTCGTGAGTGCCACCGGTGGAATGGTTCTCGAGCAAAATATTCATTCCCGGGGATTTGAATGACCATCGCTCCCCCTTCCAACCACGCCGCGACCTCACAGCTGGTACCGGTGCCGGGAGCAGGGTTGGGGTCTGCCCGCGTGAATTTACCCAAGCTTCGATTCTTTACAAATAATCACCGAGCCAAAGCTGGCTAGAGTCATTCTCCATCCTTGTCTCCCGCTTTCTTGATCGATACTTTATTCACAACGACAGGGAGGCGCCATTCCATCTTCCGACTAAAGTAGATCTTTCAGAATGTTGACTTCCCAAAAAATTTTGCGGAGGGGTTGAGTTGATGGCCATGCCACCGCCTGCTGTTACTAGAACTCGGATCATCACTGAGCTATCGTAGAAGTCTCAATAACGCTCTCTTCTACTCCAACATCATTTTATCATCTGCCTCCGCGATTGTAAAGAGGCTTCCCAGCATTGGAATGAACTGATCTTTGACTGCCAGATCGATCTGATCGAGAATCAAATGCAATCTCTTCGTATCCAGAGCTCACAGCGGCTTGTTCGCCTGATCGTCTACCGAGCAAATTCCAGAACCCACTCCGTCCGTGATCACTTTGCTGACTATTGACTGAGGTGGGCCGACTTACAGTGCTATGGCTCATTTTATGGGTGTCTGATTTGCTAGGATGGTTTTGGCGAACATGTTTGTCGAGATTGCCTCAAGGGGAGCATGCGAACGCGCATTTTTCATCCGGACGCACCAAGCACAGCTCGAGAGGTCCCGTATCTGTAGGCTAGACAAATGGTCACTCCAACTGGCGAGGCAGCTCAAGATGTATGAGATCACGAAGTGTAGCGGGTACGTAGAGATTGGGTTGTCAAGTCCTCAGGAACCTGTCGGATGATCTCCAAAGTTCGGGTTACCACGGCGTACTCGCACTCTAAACCCAGTCGGTGGGCTAAGGATTGGAGAATTCGTTACCGTAACTTGTCTGGGTTGTCAAAGATAAGCTCATCCTCAAAAGGATTGCTCTTGAAGAGCATAATCTAGCTGTATAGATCAAGGGTACTTGGGTCATTCAGGTCTGTCATGCTTCAGTCAGCGCCTCCAATGGATCAGAACTTTGAATTGGTTGGGAGCTTACCAACGACTGTAACATCTGCCATGCCCAGGTATTGCTGAACCACGCCACTGAGATTCGAGCAACACTGCAATCCGAGCCTTGAAGCTTTGCCCGACCCCACACGGGCGAGGCTGAGAAAACACAGGAGAGTAGGACGATAAAAATGTTCACCGCCATTGCACAAATGAAATCATGACAGAGGTAGACATCGTGAATGCATGGAGCAGCTCCCTTTAGATGTTGCTGAGAAGATGAACGTGGTGAAGAGATAAAGATAAGCAGACTATGATGATGAAGTGGCAGCTCAACCCGGCGGTCGTCTCTTTTGGGACATGGCCGTAGAATAGCGCTATGCCCAATTTGGAGTCAGCTCACGTGAATGGAGCTCTCCTGAAACATTTGTTGCATGTCTGCAAAGATATGCCCCAAGTTTGCCCTCCATTCGCCCTCCACACGCCCTTTTTCAAGCACCGTGCCATCCCTGTTGACCCATTTTTATTCTGTTTGGATGAACGCGTGAGGTAGATTCATATCATTTCCCAGCGAACGTCGACAACCTTGACAGCCTTTTCAGGCAATTTATGAGAATACAAATACGTTTGTTTGCTGGTTCTGGGTTTACTTGACCACTAAACTCAGATGGCATGGAACTCATTCATATTATCATCACGTGATAATCACGAGTCCTTGCATTCCATTATCGGTATCGTGGACCCACCCACCAATCTTCAGTATAGTTAGATTGGAGCTCTCTTGCTGGTTCTTCTCAGGTACGTTGTGATTGTGAATAGCGTTTTTACTTTGCTATGGATTGCAAATTAATCTGCCATTCAGCAAGGTTAATCTTGACTCGAGATTAGATGAGGCCTTGGTTAGACAATAATTGATTTCCCAACGGAGAGTGCGTCAGGCCTCCTCCACGATGAACTAGTATCAAAAATGTGATTGAAAATATTATATTTTTAATCCAATAATGATTAAAATAACTTACAAACTTCCTAATGATATGAAAGAAAAAAAAATCTTTTTCTTTTTTTTCTTTTACAATAGAACTCATTCTATAATTGGTGTGACGGCTGGTGTCACATGGTTGGTTTCAGCTAAGGTTCCAAGCTATGGTTCAAACCAAGCTCGCTTCCAAAGCTCGGCGTTTCAGTGGTTTTGGCCATACCTACTTATCCACTGCCACACCTCACTCCTTCTCTCCTTAGCTTTAGATTCTGTAGGACATTGGAATCATAGATCTTTGAGCATCGTTCCATTGCTTTGTTCCTGCCGTCACAATTGGTGTACGGGAGCGCAGCCTCAAATGATTGGTTGCGTGTATAACTCAGCTTTTGTGTAACAGAATATATCAGGCAGCCGCGAGAGCAACCTTCGATATTCGATAATTTTAGCCTCAGCATGCTGCATGAGCAAAGTTAACTCAACATGGCGTCGACATCACGATATTCTACGTGGCCAGTCATCACAGCGAGCTCCGAGGGCTCAGCAACTAAGCTGTCCCCTTCCCCCGCGCTCGATTTCCTCACCGCCGTAGCTACCACTGACGTACACGAGTATGATCTGCATCAAATAGGGATGTTGAGCATGGATGATGTCCGCAGCATGGACGAACGCATGGTTGGAAAGGGTGGATTTGCTGTCGTCGAGCTAGGGCGGACATGGGAGAACCAGCTGGTCGCCGTCAAACGATTGCGAGTATCAGCGAGGGACATTAAAGCAGATTTTGAATCCCATCTTCGGCACATCTGTTTAGAATTACGGATACTTTGTCACGAACCTTTGAAAACCCATCTGAATATCGTCGATATCCTTGGGTACTGCCTTTCTGACATCGCTGGGTACGAGATTCCTTTCCTAGCTCTCGTCCTGGAATACTCTAGTGAAGGTAGTCTCAAGACCTTTCTGAAGGATACAAAAAACGATCTGCCGCTCACGACTTTATTGGATTTGGCTGCTCAAGTTGCAGACGGGCTTGGAGCGTTGCATCAATGCAGTATTTGCCACGGAGACGTGAAGACGCAAAACGCTTTAGTTTTTAAGACTGAGGACGCATGGACGGTAAAGCTATCAGATTTTGGGGAGTCTGCCCTAGGTCAGTTCGACGACCGGTCTATGCCCGTCGAATGCGGCTTTGGAACGCCCTTGCTAAATGCACCCGAAATACGGAACGGCATGGTGCAGGCTCGAGATCAGTTTACCATCGACGATGCGATTCGGACAGATATCTTCTCATTCGGACTCTTGACCTGGGAGGTTTTGAAGCGAGGGGAAAGCTACTTCGACAAATCATGGTGCATGGACCTGGACGAGAGCAACATGATGGACCAGATGGAAGCTTACCTTGAGAAGCTACCTCACAATGGATTACTGTCAAAGGCTTGTGAATATATTCAGAGCAGCCTCTTTGACGCCGAGCAAAAGTTAAGTTTGCTTTGTGTTTTCAAGAAGTCGCTACAAGATGATCCTCTGAAAAGATTCTCCATGGGAGAGATTCGAGGGCATTTTGAAGCACAGAATGATTCCGTGTTGTAAGACCCACCTCCCGAAAATGAACGGCTCAAATATACTTACTCCTGGCCAGAAATGATGAACAGCAAGATAATTATGCGATAGAAGCTGAACAGGTCTGCGCTTGGAGCACTCGGAACACCCTCCTTGAAGTAGCATTCTTCCAGATTCTTAACAAAACGACATTTGTTAACTGATAATAGCTTCGTGACAGTACCTTCGTTAATGGGGGACTTGGGCTTCTTACATTCCCTTTTGAACTCCAGAAGCGTATCGTTAATGACCTCATTTCCATGTCTGCATCGGAGACGTTTACCATGCCAAGTCGAGCACATGCTGCTATGTGTGTGGCTGAATGCCACGCAATGAGTTTTGGGGTTCAACACGATAGAAAACAGGCCGTACAGTGGGTTCACACATCTTCCGAGTTAGGTTCTATCAAAGCCGCGGCATGGTATCCTCGGCTATGCACAATCGATAATATTCTCCCTACCGAAAACTCGTCTATCATGGGGTTCGAAGCAAACCTATCTCATATTACCTCGGATGCTTACTTGTATAATCGCGTCCATCTACAAATCCGAATTTCAATCCAGCAAATCAAATCAACAATCTTGAATTGGGACCAGCTGCATGCGTGGGACTCGTTCGCCTACATCTCGAGTATTAGGGTATTCAACAGCTGGGAACAAGATGATCTTCCACCTCTTCACGCTGCTGCACTACTTGGAGAAGATGAAGCCATTTCCAACCTACTCTGTCACGTCAAGGGCGATGAGCTCTCCTCTCGCGGACTTACCGCCGCACACTATGCTTGTATTGGTGGGCATCTGTCTACCTTACAGCTTTTGCTCAACCATTCTGCGCCCAACAAAGCCGCTTATGCAGGTGGGATTACGTTACTTCACCTGTGCATTTTCTTTGCTGGAGATGATGTAAGCAATGCGGTATTGCTCATTCTAGGCATTGGAGATAATCCCAGGGCGACGGTCATTCAACCTGTTGAGTGGGAGTACCACGACATACGCTTAGCGGGGACACCACTGGATTGGGCTGTTCGGATCCGACACAAATCTTTGGTTGTCTTATTGCTACCATTTGCTCAGGACGACAGCTGTTTGAAGCTCGCAATACGATCCTTTTTCTGGGAAATTGCTGAAGTCATCCTGCAATACTCCCGCGGAGCCGAAAACATCCCTATCAAATCCCCTCAGCAATTGTCCGAACTGTCCGTAGAAGACCAGTACCTCTCAACAGTCAAAAGGCCCTTTGGTCATTGGCTGGCCCATGGTCCAGACCATCTGGTTGCCTTAGAAAGAACCGTACAAGTATGCCGGGACAATCATCTCATGGCTAGTGGGAGCGCCCGCCATCTCGCGCTTACTGATATCGTCAATCTTGCCTCCTTCGAGGATGACTTTTCTTTAATTGTTTCACGTGTGGCTAGCCTGTCTCCTGGAGACGTCAAACGAAGAAACGAAAAGGGCGAGTCGGCCCTGGAGCAAGCTCTAGGGAATTCCGAGGACACGCAAGTATGGCGTATGCCTCTCGAAGCAATTATAAGTATGTACACAATTGAGGAACTAGAGGGTATAGGGTCAGCCTCCGTAGATTATTTCTCATATTTACACCTTGCGATTAGCTCCGATTCCTTAATCGGCACTCGCACACTCCTTCAGAAAGGGGTAGACGTCAATCAACGGTCATCCGATTTACTTGGCCAAACTCCTTTACTCATGAGTGCAAGCTCAAAATTTTCGAAAGAGCTTCATTCTCTCTTACTTGATTATGGAGCTAAGGATGATGTGGTGGACGATTTTAGCGGAACGAATCTGCTTGTGCATGGACTGATGCGATTTCAACCCAACGAAGACCTGCTCAGAGGCGTTCTCAGAAATGAAGATCTGTCAAATATCAGCGATGCATTACATTTCACTCTTGGATGCTTTATCTCCGGGTATTCAATGCGGGATGTTATTGCGGAGATGTTCAAGCGGGATAACACGGTGGAAAACAGCCCCGGGACTTCGACAATAAAGCTAGAAAAAGATGAATTGAACATCCTGTGGGACAATCTGCGAGACATTTCTCAACGCAAAAAATGGGAGTTGAAACTCATTCTGGGAAATGAACAACTGGATTCATTGTTGAGGTTGGAAGGTCTAGACCCCGCGCAGCGGCCAGCTAGCCTCGATCTCCTTGTCAATGTTGGAGAAATGAAATATATCTTGGGCGAAGAGGAAGCCCAACACATTCTAGATCAAGATAACGCTGAACCTACAGCGATATCTAGTCAATCCCAACTTGCGGAGACAGAGGACGGAAACAGCGACGCCTCAGACCCTGACAATTATACCAATACAGAAAAACCAGACCAGTACTGGAAGGAGCTCTTCAAGATGCAACTCGGCTTGCCAAACTGGGTCACATATATCAATGAAAGAAACAGTTCCGGCATGACGTTGCTACACAGTGCAGCATACTACCTGCATCCTGAGAGAATCGCGCTCCTGCTTGAAGCAGGGGCTGATGCTAGTATTGGACTCGCTAAAGAAGGGCATAATGCTGTATTGCCCTTGCAGATTGCTTGTTCAGCAGGGAGAACTTGTGAGTGGGCACGCGTCCTAGGCACACATTCTGCAATCGAGAGTCTCGGGAAACACTCGATGGATGTGGCTTCTGAGCTTCTTCATTGGCATCATACACGTTCAGATGGGCTTTTTCAAGGCGTTACTAAACTCCATCTTGCCTGCCGCATGATGCTTCGAGATGTCGTAGATGAATTATGCCGCGATGGCCATAGTGCGGATGTGGAGGCCCACTGGCCAGGCATCAACACTCCCGTCACTTGTGACGACCTGGCCGCGCAATTAGCTGACGATGATCGATTCATCGACATTTCGGATCTGATCACTGCAGAGTACCATATGATTAAAGCTCAGTCGTAATACCGTTTTGGGAAGGGTTTCGAATGTTCGATATTGGCTTTTGATAGTAGATAGTGATCTAAACACTTCCTTCGCTTCCAAGTCCCCTGTCCTCAGCAGTATCGCATCCAGGTCTCTATACTCTTCACTGGGGAGCATAAGGATCCCTTGTCAAGTGCGTCTCTGCGACAAGCTCCGGATGCGGGACCCTATCGGCCTTCCGCGCCAGCTCAAAGTATTTGTTCGGGTGAGCTTTCATTATGATGAACTCGCCTAGTGGCGTGCGATATTCTGGCTTGACAATCCATACGGTGTCACCAAGCTCGAATGGATACTATGGAATTCTGTGAGACTTTGATACAGCAATACAAAACTCGCATTGGGCTTGAAGACGTACGTTTGCAGGGGTTTGATAAGAGCCTACAAACGACTTCCAGTCATCTTCTACCGCCTTTTATAAACATCGTTAGTCCCTGCTCACTTCCATAACTTTGATGGATGAGTCGTATACTGACCTGATCTCTCGTACTGGTCGAACCAGTAGCATTATTCGACATTGTTTGCGGGTTTTCCGAATCCTACAATATGCGCTGTTCGATGAGTGCTTGTCGCAGCGCGGGACTGACAGTGAGCTAGATGGGAGATTTATTGGGGCATGTGGATATATGATAATGCGCGGGTTACGTGGAAGCTCACAGAATGTGCTGTCAACGACGCAGCATCGCTGCATGCCTGCGCCCTATACAGCAGTACGCCTTGCCCTACATGTCACACAGCATCATGCATGGTAATCGCAGGACAAATGAAGACGCTCAAATGCACAGCCTGATCGCCACGCAGCCTCGTCCATTACCCGATCATCTGGAAACATCAGAGGTGAGCACGGGGGTCGATCGTATCTTTGGCCCTATGTTCTATCGAAGCGATATGAATTAAGGTTTGTCATGACAACAAAATCTAAGCGTAAGTACTCTCTTGAATAAGGGAATCCCTAAAGAGCTGTCGTCTAAAAGCCACAGTTGAACATTACCGGCAAGGTTATCCTCGGCTTGCGGCCTTCCTCAACCTTGATCCAAATTTCACCATCTTCAGGCGTTTTGATACCCTACATCTGCGAGTCTTACTGGAGCAACAAGATCGATTATGCGAGCTGCAACAACAGCTTGAAGACTGTGACGATGCAGAGACAGTTCAACTGAATCTCAGCAGCCGACGTCAAGACGACAATATGACACGACGAAATATCCTGCAGCAAGTTGCAACAGAGCTGAAAGACTATGGTATGGATACTTGACATATTCAATGTAACTTAAATGCTGATGCGCCTTAGATAAAGGCGTGCTTAGGTTCCACCGCATGATTGCTCTACCGCGAGCGCGCAAAAGGCATCGCCGCAGCGTTCACAATTGGGTGAACGGAAACAAGCCAGTCGTGAGGTCGGAAAGTGCATCTCTCATTGCGGCTCCCAGTGCTAAGGACTACATTGCCTTGTACGCGGAAGACTCCGATAGAGCTGGTTTTGAGCTGTTTTTTGATCGCGTGGTGCAGTCATATCCACGCTTGGCGAGTTATGTTGGTACTCCCTGATGCTTGATCTAAACATCTAGTGATACTAATGGAACAATGGCTAGGTTTCACATGGCATGGTAAGTGAAGATGCATTTCCTTTTCGTCTTATTGCGGCTAACTCGCGACTTAGGCTAAAACGAGCGACCGCAATGTATTTATACTACGACGAAATTTATACGGAAGAGTGATAAAATGCCTGGTGGCTTTGTCTATTCCCACTGGAATTATATTCCCCATGCTTCTTCTGTACCGGTTCGAGAAAAGTGGAAGTCGCTCTGCCATTTCCGCTATATTCGTCCTGATAGCGTCCTTCGCGATTTGCTTCATGACGAAGGTCACCAAATACAATCTTCTCCTGGCGGTAGTAGGGTAAGTATCAATTCTCGGTATAACAAGGGTACAGTAGAACAAGAGCTGGCTAATCAAGTACCCAGATATGCTGCCGTGCTTTCCGCATTTCTTTCAAATCCAGGACCTATCTAGCATTGTTGTGGGTTCAAAAAAAATTTGCGACTAACCATTCTTTCGGAAAATTTCTTTGGGCCTATATATAGCCTAAATTGACATCTTCAGTGGCTGCCACACCTTTTGACGAATGCTTCTTTGGGTTTGCCATGGCTCTTCCGTCTTCCACTCGCGTTCCTCTAGACAAAATGCAACTGCTTCGCTATACTTCGATCCAGCTGAATGCGCTAGCTTGGTCCGAACTATGTCCAGCAAAGTATCCCGTAGTCTCTCGGGTTTCTTGACATTTTCGAAGCCTTTTCGGCTGCCATCCATACTGGGAAGGAGCCTCCAGCAACCGATCTCTAGAAGTAATATTCCCTGGGCGTATTAATGCGCTGAGCAACCTTCCATCTTAGAATCATCTCCCCAGAATCTCGTACTTACCAATGCATATATGTCGTGTTTCCTTTCAAATGGCTTTGGATTTCCCCAGCGTTCTGGGTGTCTGTAAATGTTGTTTTTCATGGAAAAATCTACCGTGAGCCTCGATTCCATTTGTGAAGGGCGAGAGCAATCAAAGCCAATCACATAGGGATTATCGAAATCATAAAGCTGATGGGACGTGGCTTCTCCTGTTCCGTGATTCAATTTGCGAAGGATGACGATATCCTCGGATTTTATAGCCTTGTGAAACCAACCGATCGAATGCAGGTGCAAAATAGCATCACAGATTGCACTAGCAAGCTGACAACGAACTTCGAGTGGAAGGGTCTTTACAGTACCGATGAGTTCCGACAATGTCCAATAATCGTTCGTGGATATTCCCGATGGAAGTCGGTACACGAATCCGATGCGTGGTCGAATAGTCTCTTCCACGTACCCCAATCCCGGCAGTATTCGAAAAGCTTTGGCCTTGTCCTCAACCAGAAGAGCCGATATACGTGCGGCTTGTTCCAGGCTCTTGTTGGCGTCCTGGTTTCCTACTGTCTCGTATTCCCAATATTCTACCAAGACCGAATCTTCATCCTTTCTCCCAGTCCGCAAATGATGATCTGCTGGTGCTGTACTGTCAAAATACACCTTTATGGCGCCTTTCGTCACTTCATCCTGGACCAAGGTCAGACGCATTGCGATTCTGCTCGCCAATTCAAAAGTGCCATAAAGGTCCTTGTTCCGAAGGGTATCCAGCGATTCTTCATTCAATCCTGCAATGCAGTCATTCATGAAGGCAAGCAGCTGGGCTGACCTCTCAGAAATGCTGTTGATGATTTGGGTTACATCAAGCTCCGCAAAATGGTAAGTTTCGGGAATAGAGAGCACATCAGTAAGGGCACGGGTCAGCCGTTTTGCTTCCTCTCGAGTATCGTCTGAAATTCGAAATGGTGCAAGCACGTTTGGCACCACAGCCTTTGGGCACAAGATCTCGCTACTGACTTGTCCCACAGCTTGCGCCTTCGATATTGTGCGGTGAAGAACATGGATATGTTCGATGTCAGAAGGAGAGTCTCGCGTCAGCCAACGTAGGAGTGCTTCTCTTTGCGCAATATCCATTGGCTGGAACAAAGAAAACCGAATGTATAAAGATAGGGCGTCTCCTCGATCTGATGGTGTGCTAGTTCCTGCTTTCGTAACGGCCGTGTCGAGGGGCTCCCACCTGGCAAGGCGAATTCCAGCACCTGAAGAACTACGTGAAAGACTCGCATAGAATGGCTGCTTCACGAGGCCGACCTCTTTCCTTAGCATTTGACGATGCAATTCGGGGATAGTAATGTGACTCGATTTGGCTACTACCAAACCCAACTGCTGCGTTAGGACTTTAGTGAATGAGGGCCTGTTGGTCAATTTGCCTGTGGGTGTAAATTGATCTTTATCAGTTGCGGCAAGGAATTCCACGTTATGTTGAAGACGAGACCGAACAGCTTGTCCGGCAAAGCAACAATCTAACAAGATTGCAACATCACAGGTTGCTCCGAGAATGCCCGGCTGTATGATGGCCCAATCTACTGTAGGCCCCCCAGATATCTTCCTATGTCACTTGATCGTTAATAATGTAGAACAACATAATGTTTATTCTGTGACTTACGCAGACCATACACACTCTGAATCCATCAGGTCAGCCGTCTTCCCTCCGTGCCCACTGTAATGTAGAATGATCAAGTTATCATCATCGCTTCCGCAGCGCAGAATAAACTGAGCAATATGAAGTTGCAATTGCGCCTGTGAATTCTTTGAGGGAATTTGGTAAGGCCAGACAAAAAAGTTGAACTTGTCACGGAAGAGGTGTGCAAGTTCGTTGACCTCATCGGCAACCCCAATATCGTCGTCTTTCCACGTAATCTGAAGTACGTGGACCGCGGAGTACCGTTGGCTGCGGCGGGGGTTATAACGAGATAGCTCATTTGAGATGATAACTTCATGCGATGAATCCATCTTGATTGTTTGACCGCTCGTTTGAGGCAGACAAGGCTGGTGAGAGCACTCTTACAGGATTTGATCGGGTATGATCCGCATTTGCAAATAAAGTGATAAGCGTTCTTTCAACTCTTCTTCTGATATGAACGAGATAGTCTCGCTTTTGGCTCACACAAGTTGAATCTGTGTTGAGGCAGAACCTGCTTGTGTAACGTATACAAGCCGGTTAGCGGCATGAATAATTAGTCGGATTTAATAGTATCACGTGACGTGCACGTGGTGGGGATCGAGCATTAATATACCTTATGAGTTCTCAGGGCTCAGGAGTAATGTAGCCCGAGCATGAGATAAGATTATGATGATATTTCATAACTCAACACTTCTTGGTATTTGCCAGTCCAGGTGCGCATATCTATACGGTACCGGTGAGGCTCCCTTCGCTAGCTGTACACTTCGTCATTGTCTGGATCGCAATGAGTGGAGGCAGATTTACAATGTTCACTTCGCTTCCCGGCAGAATTTCAAGGGGTCAATGTTTGTTCCTCCGATGTATTCTGGTATATAGTGCCATTCTACTATTGTCAGAGATACCTCAGCATTGTTCAGTCAATATCCGGCCCGCATTACCGTGACTCGGCTGGCTCCTGATTTGACAGGCTTCAACCCCAGAGACTACTCTATCCGGATTGAAGGCACGGCTTCATCAGCTCAGTCTGACAGTATCCATGACACTGGAAGAGAAGGCCTCACAGCAAGATTCCTCAAACCACGGACAGACAATTACAACCCGTTGATATAGATTCAGCTGAACCTGATCAGACGCTCCATTACGATCAGATCGCCCTCCTTCCCGCAGCTCAACACGTGACCGAAGCACCGCGGGCCAATTATACTCCAGGAATCAGTTTTTGTTGCACGTCTGACAAAATCATGCATATGCTCAGGGTATGCATGAAAGTTACGTTGCCAAGAGTGTGCCTTAAAACAAATATTTTCTAGCTCAAACATCTCCTCAAAAGCTAGTCACTTGATTTATATACAATTCTACACGATCACTCTAGCACAAGCCACTCGTGATTCAACTCCTCAGTACTCTCTCGACCCCTTAAACTTAGTATCCGGCGGAAACAAACAAAGCGTAAAATATCCATCCGTCTCCGGATTACCCGCCAGCAGCGCCTGCCTCGGAAGCGAGCCATCCCTCCCACCAAAGAACTCCCCTCCCTCCTTAAAATAATACGCCGTATCCCCACTCAACGCAACGGAATTTGGAGCTAGAGCCAAGTACGAGACTTCATTTACGACAAACTGCATCGCCGTCATATTCTCCAGCGCCCAATCGAGGCGGCTGATGCCGAGACCGCAACTGAGCATCGCCGCGAGCGTGATTGGGATTCTCCACGGCATGTTTCGGAGGAGCTCGTGGAGGGCGGGGTACTCGGTCATCCGCACTGCGTTTTCGTATGAGTTTTCATCTAAGTCGATAGTCGAGATCATGATATGAAGAGCCTCGATGGCTCTTCGTTTATCGTCTGCGTCAGGAGGAATAGCTGCAAGCTCACGGTTGATTTCGTGGTGGGAGATTGGCCAGAGGACCGTGGAGTTGAAGATACTGCGTACAACAGTGTGTATCACCAGTACGTTGTGCGCAAGTTGTAAGTGATGGTCTGTGACTTCCGCAAAATCAGGGAGCATCCTGGCAGCATTTTCCATGACTTTGGCCATGGGTACGCCGTCTGCTTTCGCGAGATCGACCTTGCTTCCTGGTGGACAGCGCATAACAGGACCATTGAGAAGCTTGGCAAGGTCTCCTAAGCACTTTGGCTCTGGAAGATCGACCTTTAATGGCCCGACTCGCCCGTCGAGAAGGTGGTCGGATTCCAGGAACAAGGGGCTGAGACCACTATCCACTTCTCGCAGTTGGCGGCAGCAATCAAGAAAGAGCTCAGTGAAGGTAAGTTGCTTTGCTTTCTTGGGAGCTTTATAGAAGCCGTACTGGGGCATAATTGCAAGAATGAAGTCTCTTGCTCTTCCAGTCTCCCGGGTACTGTTTAAATGGAGCATGATATCCCTCTCATTTGGTAGCAAAACTTCCCGATTCTCGTATCGGCGTGAAGCTGTACCAAGCTCAAGGAAGGCAATGACAAGTTCGTTCTTGGTGAAGCCGATTCGATGTCTCATGGGGTCGTTGTGGTCTTCTCCGTGGGTAGACCAGGTCATTGCAAGAGCTGCCAGACTCTGGCCTAGAACAGGCATTTTCCTTGCATCATACTCGGTTGCAATTCTAGGCTGCTCACCACCTTCCACGGGCTTGCAACGTACGAACTGAATCTTGTCTGAAAGTATAATCTCTTGCAACGGCCATAGTCGAGTTAAGATTCCTTCATTCATGACATGACCGGCGTGTTCCTCAGTGATATGCTCAATCAAGCGTCTCCGACCGTCTAGTCCTTCCCCAAAATTGACGTCAGAATCATCTTCATTCCTACTCCGCCAATCACGACTTTTTGAGAAGAAGAGATAGGGGTCTCCAATTGCTTTGGTGCAGCACTCTTTGAACCCCGAGCTATCCCTGACGGCAATGGTTCTCTGGGCGAACCGGAAAACGGAAGGAATGTGCTGGGTGATGGCGACTCTAGCTTCATCATCGCGTTGATTGATGCACAGGACGTCCATCCAGAACCACTGGTCTCCAACAATAGATGGTAGTTGTTCTTTGATGAATTTCGCCTTTTCTCGAGAAACCCGAATCTCGTGCTCGATGCCGTCCACCTTCATCCATTCCGCTTTCCCCCAGACGTGCGAGATGGCTAGGAAGTCTGTTGACGCGGGAGACATCACGCTTTTTAGCAACTTTCCTGCCTGGAATCGACAGAGAAGTAGCTGGAGTGGAGGTGCGGCTTCACTCTCCCTCGATGGTCCTGCTGCCTGCACCTTCCCGGCATCCGGCTCAGTCTCCTTTCCTCTGACAATTGTGGCATCACGGTCCCCATCAAGTGCCATAAGACCCAGCTGGGGCCTTGTGTCACCAGTGACTGGCACATCCGAAGCAGGACTTGGATGAGGTCGTGAGACAAGGGTGTGTTCATCCGGGGCAGTCGATGTCTGGGAGAAACAGTTTCCCATAGCTATGCTTATTCAGGATACATACTCAAGAATTGTGTTCGTATTTTCAGCAAAGAGGAGCCCAAGTTGGCCAAGAGGTGATGGTTCAGCTGCGGCTGAGATTTCTTGGAATATCGAAAAATATCAAGCTAGTCGGGGATCTAGACTCTGTTTAGCGGCTGAGGGACTGCAGAACCTTGGGATTTTTCTTGCGACTCGTTAAATCTAATATACGCTGGAGGAGAGAAGAGTGGCTTTTGCTAGTGTGGTGCTAATAGAGACCACCGGCTCCTGTCAATGTACGGAATAGTCTTGCAGGAAGGAAATATAAAAATTGCGAAAGATCAAGAAAAAGGTTTTATTAGTTATATCATAACACATTCGAGTCACTTTATTGCAACCACGATTGTCCACTCACCAACAAATCGACCCTTCAATCCATTCCATCTCACGAGGGGGTGGATGGGCAAACACTCCCACCTCCAGGCGTCCATACCTCAAGCGCGCCCTCCTCTCCTGCAGATCAAATCCTACTTCGGCGCACCGAATCCTCCTCTCCCTCGGCACTTTCTCTTCCACTAGCCATTCCTCTTCAAGCCTCACCAACTGCTCCGCAGCCAGTGCCGTCAACACCGAATTCCAAAGCCCCTCTTGCCTCTCTGTCCTTCTCATTAACTCGATGGCCTTCCAGCGAATACTCCTTACCCTACATTTTGTCGCTACGAAATTCAGCGGGAGGACGATTCCTGTGACGTTTCCTGTATCGTGACAGAGCAATCTTTTCACCCCACCTCCATGCTCCGCACTGCCTTCGTGCGGGCCAATAATATCCTCCGAAAGTCTGACAATCTCCTCAAAATCCTCAGTATGCTCATCCCAAAGCCCTTCATCCCTCAGTGCCCGCTCAAGATCAACGCAGAAGTAAAACCCCATAAAGATCTTATGTACCCTCAGAACATTAACTGCATCCCTCCACTCCTTCTCTTCCTTCCCTTCCCCATTAAGCCCACCCCCCAACTTCCTCTCCTGTGTTCCAACAAACGAATGAAAAGCTTGCCCCCACAAATTTAATCTGATAGTAGCCGTACTCTGCATGCACGCCAGCATAACCCTGATAGCAACCCAATCGCTACGATCCACGGTAGCCATGCTCCTGAACGATTCCGTGCGGATGTAGTCGAGACTGTTCATAGCTTCTCCCAAACTTTGAAATTCTTCCGGGATCTCGGGTGCGTAGCCTGGCAGGGGGTTGTCGGAGGAGGGGTCTTGGAGAGCACGTTCACGACCAGCGAGGAGGGCGGAGGCTTGGGAGTCAAAGTGGGCGAATATGAGGGTGAGCGTTGGTGTGCTGACGTATGGCGTGTTTGATTGTGAGATGGTTGAGGGGTATGGGGATGAAGATGAGGCGGACTGGTGGAACGCGGAAAGAATTTTGATCCCACCGTTTATATGCGAGATAGCCGTTGCGTGGTGACCGCGAAGTGTCTCGAAGTAGACAAAGAGTACGCAAGTCACAAGGGCGACATTTGCAGCTTTTTCTTGGCCGCCATTGAATCCCAATAAAGCTTTGATGGCTTTCGCGTACTGTTGCATTGCAAAGACGTCATCATCCTCTCCCTTACTTAGCGTGAAGTTGAGATTAGTATGAGGGAGAATCTCGAATCTTTCGTGGAGGGCGCCGAGGGCTACGGCTGCGTGCCGGATTGCGGGTTCTCGGTGTGTTGCTTGGAGGAGGCGTTGCCAGAAGTCGCTCGAGTCGAAGGGGCCGGAGAGCTGGGGGAAGGTGTGTCTGCAGAAAAAAGAAAAGCTCCTGCGTTCTTGGTCGTCTTCTAGGATATTGGTACTAATTGGCAGGTGAAAAGGTGAAGAGCTGGCCGCAATTAAGGTTGTGAGTGAACGGCTGGAACTCTCGACTCCTGAAGGACTGGAAGAATACCCATCGCACGTACGTCCCGTAGTGGAGCACTTTGAGCATGCCGGTATCCCTTTATCGCATTTGATACTTCAAAGACTTAGCAAGTGGTTTCTTTCGAGGGGAGGGAGCTGGGTGAGAGCCGGGAGTATGTCTCATGCTCCCGGCCAGTGAAATAGGGAGCTTAGGGCATGGGACAAAGAAATAGGTTGGTTACCGGCGAATCCTGGCGTACTGTTAGTTTGGAGACACGGCTGCGAAATTTGAGCAATGCTTGCCTGCAGGTCTTGCATCCATCAGCAGTCTTCCTGTGGAAGGCTCCAATCCGGTTGACGAGGCGGGGACGGCCTGTTGGACTAGGAGCCATCTGCGGATGGGGCTCATATCCCTGCGTTCTTGGTTGTTATTGACCCGGCAGTTTGTCGAAGGCTGGGGAGAGGAAGTGGAATCCGTAGGAACCCTTGAACGAAGCAGCCAGTCCTCGGCCACATTATGCGAAGAACATGGGAGAGAGGAACGAAAGAAAAATTGACGCGACGAAGTCAAGAGAACGATCTGGTTTCAAATTACCCCTATCTTGCAGCCTTGCTGCGCCTCGTTAGGTTCCCCACAGTTCGCACGAGAAGGCATTGGGCATGCTCGGATTGAACGAAGCGACCAATCAGGGAGCGCGAAATCCGTTACCCCGAGCCATCAAGCAAGAAGTTGCGAAAATTCCAGGCTCGAAGACTATATATCTCAAAGAGAAAGGTCCGAGTGGGAAGCAAAAACAGCATGTCGGAGCCCATAAAATTTGTTGCAGTGCAGCTTTTTGGTTGTCTGCCTGGCCGATTTCCTGACAATACGTTTGAGTCCGTCGGATCAAGAGGCAGTTTCCAACGATGCTTGGATAATAGAGTATCAAGTCCAATTAGTAGAATGCCCCTCCAGTATAGGTGAGATAAATTTCGAGTCCTTTCCTGAAGATGACTTCTACTCGACCGCTAGAATATACCGAATTTTCCGAAGTGCTCAAACGAGTCTTCCTCGCTGACCTCAACCTCTCTTCTGCTTCAGCATAACATTCGACAGTCCAGACCTGCATCACACACTTTAAGACTTTTGGTCGCATTGCATCAATTGCGAGAAGCTGTCGTCTGAGGAAGGGCTGTTCGAGATCACCATGTCCTTGGACCCGCCTTCCTCCTAAACCAAAAGAGCAGCCTTATTGTGGGGATGAATGAAGCTGCGCTAAGGCTTGCGGGGGAGAAGATGTGGTTAACATCCGTCGCGAGAGCAGCGGAGAGGCTGGAAGTGTGGTGGAACATGGCTGTTCCTAGATCAAACGGAGGGCAGGAGGTAGATGGATTGATAGAAACAAATGGTGCGGAGGATCAATTCGAAATGTTGCCGTGGAGGGAGAGACAGCGCGTCTTCACAACAGATCATCTGTCACTGTTGGGTAAGTTGTCACAGTGACGAGCATGGAGCCATATTAGGGGGAGGATCAGTCGAGGCATGAGTCTGACCACGAGACAGACCCAGAGGGAATATGTATGAAGTGAGCAGACCATCCAGAAACCAGAGAAAGCTCGAAGCCAAAAATACTGTACTTTTCTCGAGGATATTTAGAATTTCTCAGCCTCATGCTGAAATTCTCCGGTTTGGGATTCGGCGGGACGTGCAGCATGCAACATGCGGCAAGCAACATGCAGATGGGAAGCGTAAGAAGAGAAAGAAGCGAGATCGGACGCAGCCACCAAGCATGCAATCAGATCGTGAACAACGCAGCATCGTACGAGCAGCAGATAGGAAGAGAGGGAAGCAATTGCAAAGCCTCGAGATCCCGATATCATGCGAGTCCTCTCGGCCCTATCCGCCGTACCATGTGCCAGCTGGACCAATCCTCACTTGAGGCATTTTGTGATGCAAGCCTCGTCGGTGGTTGGGAAGAAGAGCCGACAAATTTTTTCCTGGCAACACATGAGGTTTGATTGCTGCTCATATCCCCCGTCTTGTCCCGCTGTGTCCTTGCTGGTGGTGTTGGTGTTGCACAGGATTGAGGCCTTCGGGAACCCTCTCCGGATTCCTCCTCAACCACCACTACCCCCCTCTCGCTCCCCTCCTCCCTTGATGTAGCTGTAGATAAAGCCGATGACACTGGCGCGAGTCTTTGGGCGGGAGCTTGCCGCGGCTGGATCGGTAAGAACAACGCCATAAGCCCACCATCTGCAGGACCGCCTTCCCTTGCACCGTGAACCTGCCAGCTGTCATGCTTCTTTCAACCCAATATCTCCGGTGTTAGATCTCAATCTGTACCTCCTGCCACCACTGGTAGAGTCTGGCTGCGGCGTTGCGAGGACGACGATGGGCACATAGACACAAGGTTGCTCGATCTCCCATTACGTCAGGTAAGCCTCGAAGAGCGGTGACGGTTTCTGCCCCTCGCCAGCTCCCTCTCGCGCTAGCTCTACACCCAATTTCGGGCCTATGCTGCCCGCGGCCGTTCCTGCCCTGCCCTGGCCTGCCTTGATTATCGCAAACAATCAACACCACAGCCAAAGCCAATCCAATCCTGCTTTCTGCTCTGCCCCACGTTCCAGCCCAGCTCACCCAGCTCACTCAGCTCCGGAGTACTTCTTCTATTCCTGCATCCTTTCCTCCTCCCCTCCCCCTATCGACCCTCTCGTCACCCTTCCCTGGAACCTCATCTTCTTTCCTGCACATACTTCATGTCGTTCTCTTCTTCTAGCATTTCACCTTCATTCGGCCTCCTCTGTGCCTGAACGGATCACTCACCATGGCACAGAAGTTTTCCGACCAGGGCGCTGAGCTCGCCGAGTCTCCTGCTCCTCTTGCGCCAGGAGGTGCCCAAGATACTGGCCATCCAGGCTTGCGTCCTTCCCTCACGAAAGTCCCCGTCACTCCAGGGATCGGCCTGGGCGAATACAGTTCTGCAAGCAGCACGGGTGACCCCTCATATTTTACCCACGACATTGCCAACCTCCGAAACTCCATGGCGCAATCCCCCAGCGATGCCGCCTCCGGCGCGAAATCACACCACGATATCCTACGCCGTATGAGCTTGTCTTCCCCGGGCCTGCAGAGGAAGAATTCGTTGGTAGATGTTGACCCTCGAGCTGCGAATCCAACTCTTGGCCTCAGCGGCGGTGTTATCTCAGCAACCTTCTGTATTCCCCACTCCTTACAACTTAGAAGCGGCGCAGATTGGGTGAGCAATCCAGGCCCTGCACTACTGGACCGTGCTGACCATGATCTAGGGGACGGGCACCCGTCGCGGCACTTCTGCCCTATTCGACTCCTTCAAACACCTCTCATCTGATAAAACCCCGTGGAATCATACGCTCGTTGGCTGGACTGGGGAAATAAATGTACCCGACGACTTGACCCCACCAGATACCCCGCCAGCAACTACCACAGCATCACGAATTCCGCCCCTCAACAAGAGCTCAGCACCAATTCCAGTTGATGTCTTCACCAAGCCAGCTGAACAGCCACAGTCTGAAGGGTTATGGGTCAGCAAGTCGGATCAATCGAGACTGGAGTGGCAGCTTGCCCACGACAAAGAGTGTCGAACCATACCTGTTTGGCTAAGTGATGATACCGAAGGAGACGCAGAGGGCGCGCTCTGCTTGAGAGACCAATCTCGATGGAGACGGTACGCCGAGCATGAGCTTTACACGCTGTTCCATTACAAACAGCATGAACCAACAAATGGCCGAGCAGAGCGTGCATCATGGGCAGACTATTACCGTATGAACCAGAAGTTCGCCAACCGCATCCTCGAGGTCTACAAGCCAGGTGACATTGTCATGATTCACGATTACCATCTTCTGCTGCTTCCGAGCATGCTTCGGCTGCGAATCCCGCATATGTACATTGCTTTCTTCCTGCATATTCCATTTCCTAGTAGCGAGTTTCTTCGATGTTTACCACGGCGCAAAGACGTTTTAGAAGGTGTTTTGGGCTCAAACTTGATTGGATTCCAAGCACACGGATATTCGCGTCATTTCGTTTCTTGCTGTACGAGAATTTTGGGTTTCCATTCAGACATTACCGGTGTCGACGCATATGGAGCAAGAGTTACTGTTGGAGTCTTCCCCATTGGAATTGATGCAGCAGGTGTTGCGAAGCTCGCATTTGATAATCCAATTATCAACGATCAGGTTAAAGCATTGAGACGACTATATGAGGGCAAGAAGATCATAGTTGGTCGAGATCGTTTGGATAGCGTAAGAGGTGTTGCCCAGAAGTTAATGGCTTTCGAGCGATTCTTGGAAAAATATCCTGAAATGAGGGAAAAGGTTGTTCTTCTCCAGGTCACAAGTCCTACCAGTATTGAAGAGGAGAAAGGAGACTCGAACAATAAAATCGCGAACAAGGTCTCGGAACTTGTGGCTAAAATCAATGGCTTATACGGCTCGCTCGGATTTTCTCCCGTACAGCACTACCCTCAATATCTTTCGCAGGACGAATATTTCGCACTCCTTCGAGCTGGTGATACTGGCCTCATTACCAGTGTCCGTGACGGCATGAACACCACTAGTTTGGAGTACGTGGTTTGCCAGAGGGATGATCATGGACCACTTATTCTCTCTGAATTTTCTGGAACAGCAGGCAGCTTAAAGGATGCAATCCATATCAACCCATGGGATTTGACGGGAGTCGCGGATGCCATCAACTACGCATTGACTATGAGCGAGGATAAGAAGAGTGCCATGCATCAAAGCCTTCACCATCATGTCACTACTCGAACCGTCCAGGCTTGGTCAAACGGCTTCCTTAAGCGTCTGCTGTCTGTTTTGAATTCCCACAACGCAACGATCGCCACCCCTCTCCTCGACAAAGTAGCACTCCTCACTCAATACCGGGCAGCGAACAAGCGACTGTTCATGTTCGACTATGATGGAACTCTCACTCCGATTGTCAAGGATCCAGCTGCAGCTCTTCCATCCGATAGACTCATCCGTACCCTCAAGGCTCTTGCGACAGATCCACGAAATGCTATATGGATAATCAGCGGCCGTGATCAAGAATTCCTCCAGCACCAGCTAGGTCATATTCCAGAGATAGGTTTCAGTGCGGAGCATGGTAGTTTCATGCGTCATCCAGGAAGCAAGGAGTGGGAAAATCTGGCTGAAAAGTTTGATATGAGCTGGCAAAAGGAAGTCTTCGACTGCTTCCAGAAGTACACTGAGATGACCCCGGGTAATATATCCTCGGGAGAGTATCCTCAAATCCACGGCTAACACAGACAGGCTCCTTCATTGAACGCAAACGTTGCGCTCTCACCTGGCACTATCGCCCATCTGACCCCGAACTTGGCGCGCACATGGCTCGCGAATGCCAAAAGGAGCTCGAGAACACGGTAGGGAAGAAATGGGACGTCGAAGTGATGACCGGCAAAGCAAACCTTGAAGTTCGTCCCACGTTCATCAACAAAGGTGAGATCGTCAAGCGCCTCGTCGCAGCTTATGGCCACGATATCGGCCAGCCTCCCGAGTTTGCTCTCTGCTTGGGAGACGACTTCACCGACGAGGATATGTTCCGTGCCCTGAACGCCAGCTCGTTGAACCCAAATCACGTCTTCACTGTTACCGTCGGTGCGAGCTCCAAGATGACGCTGGCGCATTGGCATCTACTCGAGCCGGCGGATGTCATCTCCAGTATAGCGCTGCTAAATGGTGGCGATGGCAATGTTGCCGATCTGGGACCGTTGGCTATAGTCGAGGGCAGGATTCCGGAGGAGCTGCCAGGTGGTGTCATTCCGGATGAGATGCCTGGTGGGAGGCTCTAAGCGTCCGTCTGAAAGGATCAAGGAGTGTGTTCGCGTTTGCATAGGTAGATGGGTGTTGTGTGGTGGGAGGGAATTTGATACTCGCTTGGCTTGGCATGAATTGGCTTGAAGCGACAGCAAAAACGATTATGGCATAGAAATAAATGGCAACGACGAATGCATTTTGCACATATTATTTTCCTGTTCGTGTGTTGCGGCGTGCTGTTGTGTGAGATTGGAGTCACCTCTCCCTGGTTGAGATGGTGCAGCGAAGTCGCTCTTTTTAAGTGCAAATCAGCAAGTGCTGAGTTTGAAGGCTCGGCAATGCCTTATGAAGGCTGTACGTCTCACAATGCTCCGTATAGTGCCGGTCATTGGACGCGATAATAGGCAATTCAATCTTCTCGGATCGCTAGGTGAGGAGAGGGTTATGTTTACATTTTCTAGGGTTGGTACGTTGCAGTTGATGTTGATTACGTTCTATATAATGCTTTACTTGAGGGGAGTACTTTGGCTTGCTTGTTGCTGTCATGATGACGGTATGTCCTGTCTAGACGCGTCGTACGGATGGGTTTTCCTCCCTCTCGAGCCCGTCCTCCCATTGCTGTACGATAAATTTCGAGTCTTGAATGTTGAGGAATCATACGTACTTATAAAAAAAATTGCAGTTTATGCTCACGAGCATCGTCTCCTGAATACAGTAATAGAAAATATTAGAAATTAAAGCAAGGAGAAGAAGATTAAGAAGATAACGTGATGCTTTCGAGAAGCCCGTCGAATGATTGAACCGATCTCCGAGAAGACGGTTAGAATATTTCTAGGCCTTCAACGTGCTATTCCTTGCTTGGTGAACGGAAGATTGGCTTGCCGTGGGCGTTAGTTTTGCTTTGGGAGGTCTATGTCACTTCTTATCCAGGGGGTTGCGACCATTCTTCTGAGTTGGCGAAAAGACATTTGCTATCTATTGGAAAGAAACGCGTTCAGAGTCCGCATGTACAGACTTGCTTTTGAGGGACAGTGTAGGGGTTCTGATCGGCATCGGTTTCGGAACCAGCAATACGTGTGGGGAGATCCTTACCGAGTGGCTCAGGCCCTGCGAATTCTTTGAGCCTCCTTGGTGAGTTAGCCGTGCTTTCATTGGTTCACAAGCTGAGCTGATATTACACGGGCAATGCGGTAAGAAGAAGATCAGGCATCGATTCGCACGATTTGCCTTCCCGTGTGGGGGAATTGGGCATCATTCGGCCTCACGGTGCTGCACTGTCAGCAGCTTAGGAGAGTGTCCATAGACTTCATTGGCCCGCCATTGCTCTCAAGCTTCTTGAGGCTGTTTCTTGATCCTCAATATCGCACTGCTGCAAACGTCGCCACTATCCTCAGTTATATACGCTGTGTTCATATCTCCCACGAAGCTCGGTTATCACGACGGTATTTGTAGGCAATTTCAATATTCTTAATACCTGTAGTGTGGTTAAACTCTTAGGGGAAGACCAACCCTCAATCTTTGCGAGAAGGGCGGCGGGATCCTTGGGCATGGAGTGACGAACGACAGGGTTGGGTCAGGAGTCGTGTGATAGATCTGACCGAAAGTCTGGACAACCCCGGCAAGTTCTACTATCGACCTGAATTGGAAGAATGCTAACGTTCTTGGCTTTGAAGACAATATCGAATATCAATTTCAGCCTAGGGCTGTCCTTTATGAATCTGAAGTGCAATCAACTGAAGCTGACCAGGGTATTACCTCGCCGCAGGTTGGAATTCTCAGAGCAACCCCTGATTCCGTGCTGGATGCGGGCGAAGGGATCCATCGCAGCTCCTCGTCGCAGCCGAAAATCTCGTATTCCATCATGTGTCAGTATAAACTTGATCACATCTACGGGGTATACGACTCCCCACGTGTCCGCCCAGGTTAAAAAAATGCCCGGCGGTTGCAGGAAGAGGTTGATGAGGTATGTTGTGTTGGTGATACCCGCCCGTATGAGGTATCTCAGTGAGAATTATCCCTAAAGTAAGGGCGACCTTGAGTTTCCTAGCACTGCGGGTTTGCGTAAGTTATGTTGTCTATTGAAAAACTAGGTGGGCTTACAGGATTGGTTATGAGAGCTTTTGTCATCTTGCTATGGTCCTGACTTGAAGTTTCGCACTGGGCACGTCAAAGGCTTTCTGAAATTTGTTCGTTTGCTTTCACAATTATTCAGATATTCGTTTTCCTCTGGTATATGCTTGCAACCTTGCTGCCGTGAATCGTGGCTACTTTTGTTGTGATATAGGCCAGAAGGGTTGGATGATAGGTTAGACCCGTATTGTTCCATAGGTCCCAACTGCGCCCGTAAGTTGGAAGTAGCTTCCAAACTCCCAACCCGGCAGACCAACTCAATTCATTTCCCAGTAATCTACATTTAACAGTGCAATGTGCATCTGATTCTATGAATCTATAACTACCTTCTCTAACGCTACTAACCTCGCTGTACTATACTGCTGCCTCGACTGTCTAGACCGAACCTATACTCGAGAAGAACTGGGGCGAATACCTATCCTGCACAAGTTTTTTATTTTTTAATGTTTTTTCTTTATTTTTTACACCACGTTTCTAAGCCTAGGGCAGCTTCATTCTTTAGGGCAAGAAGCAAGGGAAGAAGGTTATGGAATTCATCTCAAGGACCAAGCCGGGTAGAAGACTAGAGACCATGGTGAAGAGGTTGTGGGGGTTTTATAAGGTTGACTATCCGCAGTTTTCGAGTGATGAAGTGGAGTTTGAGGAGACTGAGTAGGAGTATTATCATTATTGAGGCTCAGTTCGAGAGGGGATATGGGGTTTGTATTGTTGGATGGTTTTAGACTGGATGCAGTTTTGTCATTGTTATCGAGACCCATTCATTGCCCTCCAGAGTCTCCACCGATGAGGAAGCCTTGTATCTAGCATTTCTTTTCCTTTTCTTATTATGCAGTTTCATGTTACACAGTGGGAGAATGGTAACCAAGGCTTCGGCATGCCGGATTTAAAGGGGATGATGACCCAGTACGAAGACAACGGAATAAAGTATCGGGAATACAGGGCATTGGGAAAATTTTAGGCTCTCCGGCATTCAGATTAAAGTGGTAAACTCGCTATAAGGCCCTATATTTCCAGGCCCTTCCCCTAAAAGTAGCATTTACGCCTTCGACAAGGGCTACCACACCTTTTTAGGGCTTCCCATTGTATTTACAAAGGAGACTTCGCTAAGGAGGCATAATAGTCGCTTGTTTAGCGTCCGAGCGTTATAGTTGCTCTACCAACAGCGCTATAACCCTAGAAGATCTACTTATTCCTTGCGAATGTCTTATAGCGCCTCTTTATGTCGATTTAGGGAGCACTACCTAGAGTTACAGGGGCTTATAGCGAGCGTCTGCCATAAATTCGCACCCTGTAGAGCACCAAGGGTCAAAATGCCCCGTATTCCCGATACTTTATGCCGTTGTCTTCATACCATTAAGTGTTCTTGTCTTCGATAATGTGATCCGGTCGGAGTCAAGTTTCAGAGACTGTACAAATACTACAAGCGAGTTTCTCTCCACAGTATTTGGAGGAGTTGAGAGCGCTTTTGCGGCTGAAACAACCTTACCGAGTAAAAGCCACGTCCACACATGATTGGTGAGAAGCAGGTCGCAACTAAAATAGCGCAAAAGTTGGCCCCACCATCATTCAACATCCAGAACTTCACCTGAAAGATCTACAGCATCATCTGCATCTCATCCAATTCGCTCTTTACCTAAAGCTCAAATGACCCCAGCTTTCTCCGATGAGCGCTTCGAGCTATGCGCCTACTGGACGCGAAGAGACTAGAGCCCGTCGACGTGCGTGACGATGCTATACCACCATACGCCATCCTGTCTCACACCTGGGGAGACGAGGAGCTCACACTCCAGGAGTTGCGGCATATGAAAGGGCGGATGCCTCAATCCCTAGACAAACGGAAACGAACCATTGCTGATAAGAAAGGATTTGCAAAAGTCAAGGATGCGGCAGCCTTGGCTGTCACGAGGGGGTTCTCTTATATCTGGGTCGACACGTGCTGCATTGATAAATCGAGCAGTGCAGAACTTTCTGAAGCAATCAACTCAATGTATCTTTGGTATCAGCAAGCTGCCGAATGCTATGCCTTTCTCTCGGATGTCAAATCAGCCAAGGAAGAAGACTGGTCGAAGCCAAACTCCAGCCTTCGTCACAGTCGTTGGTTTACTCGAGGATGGACTTTACAAGAGCTCATTGCGCCGAAACTTGTTCATTTTTATGCAAAGGATTGGAGCTTCCTTGGGCATAAAGACCGTCCGATTGCCTTTACGAGGATTATCAGCGCAGTCACTGGGATCGATGCGGAGGTTCTGGACGGACGGATCGATCCCCTCCAACTCGGTATTTCCGCTCGTATGAAATGGGCATCACGTCGACATACTACCAGACTAGAAGATACAGCATATTCTTTGATCGGCCTCTTTCAAGTAAACATGCCCCTTCTGTACGGGGAAGGTCACCGGGCGTTCACGAGGCTGCAGGAGGAGATCATTCAACGTTCTGACGATCAGTCACTATACGCATGGAACTCGCTGGAAACAGCAGATGAAGACCCAGACGAGTTATCCGGTTTACTTGCTCACTCCCCAGAGCAATTCAAAGATACTGGGAACATCCATCCTCTACCTCCATCCCCTGTCTATGCGAGCGCACCATCTGGCATGACGAACCACGGTCTTCGGGTTCAATTATATCTTCGACCTTTATTGGAAGCAGAAGGAGTTCCAATGGAAGAAGACTACTATGCAATCTTAGACTGCTTCGTCAGCGTCGGCGATTTATACCAATGTCCAGTCATACGTTTGAGACTACTCTCACAAGACCAGTACGCCAGACTTCAAACCAAGTCTCGAAAATACCTGCCTCCACCACAAGGAGATTTTCCAGAGTATGAAGGATACAGAACAATATATGTTCGACAGCAGCCAGTCTACTACAATCTTCCGCAATTCAGGGTCTCGCCGGCGCACATGCACTCCAATCTCCATAGCCAACAGGACCAACAATACAAGTTGACAGAGATCTTCCCTCATCGTGAGTGGAACTCAACAACTATAACAATGAAAGTAAAATATTCCCGCAAGCTGCAAGCCATGGGTGTTTTTCGCTTTCAAAGTTCTGGCGCACACGACAAGAAAGTAGATGTTGTGGTTGGGTTGAGGCGTCTGGATGCCATGCAATGGGAAGGATGGTGTTTTCAACGCGCTTATCAGGGGAGCTCTCTTGAATCTACCCTTTCTGTGATCAACCAGAGGGTTTCCGAGTTAACGAGAACAAGGAGTGTTTCAACAGGGATGCTTCGAGATTCACTTGGAGATGATTCAAACTTGATGACTGACGCAACAGTTGAAGGGATGCAACTCCAGGGCCGGTTATACATCTCGATCTCGATGTCCCAGAAACCAGAGGTTTATTCGACGACAGCATTACAAGTATCCCCGACCCAGCAGGGCTTGGTGTTCCCTACAAAGGACAGCAGCATAACAATTCCTTTACTCTATGACTTCCAAGTGCGGACCTTGACTGGCCCTTGCTCACGGAGCTACCTGGTAACGAAATCAATGCTCCTTGATGATGTGGAGTCAAGCGCCCACGTTTTGGCTGTCCGAGGCTTACCACCAACCAGTGGTTTGTATCGCAGCGGTTCTCTCTTTAGTTCGCTGCACGATTTTGTGAAGCGCGTTCAAAATCAGAAAGCAATCGGTGATTCAGAACATCCTGTTTCCTTCGAAGATCAGTTAGCAGTTGCTTTGTTCAAAGGAGACAAGACTAAGGCAGAGGGGCTACTGGCTGTTGGTTTCGACCTGGAGACTTCCACATCAGATTTATATGGCTTTACCGCGCTACATTGGGCAGTTGCGGGGGGCTTCTGGGAATCTATTCCTCTTCTCTTTAAATACGGTGTCAATCCCCTTGCCTTGACAAGAGAAGGGTGGACTGCATTGCACCTAGCGGCCGTCTTGAGCAAATCGACCTGGAAAGCTTTCTTGGCCCCGGGACATTCAAACGAGGATTTCAACGAACTGGCAAATAAGCGGACAAGAGATCATCTCGAGACTTCCCTGCACCTGGCCGCAGCTTACTGTCAAAACTCTGAACGTGGAGTGTCCTTTTTCAAGGAGCTTTCCCGTGATGCACTCAATGGTGCCACACTTTTCGCTCGAAACAAGCATGACGAGACTCCTCTTCATAGAGCCGCAGCCTTTAATAATGCTGGAATAATTCAGTCGATTGTAAACCAGGAACCCCAATCAACGCCAGGTTTTATTGACGTTGTCGATCGATACGGAAGGTCTCCTCTCTGGCACGCTGCCGCTACAGGCTCTTGCGATGCCATACAGATTTTATTATCTTTCAACGCCAGTATCAACTTAACAGATGACCTGGGCAGAAGCGGTCTCCATGCAGCTTGTTGCGGAGGATACCACGACGCTGTCGAGATGCTTTTGCAAGAAGGGTAAGTCCCAACTTCTCGGAGCATTGATCCCTTGAAGCAAGGTCTCAAGAGCTCCTGGAACATTCTACTCCTGGAAATACCTGAAAGAAGTATGCTGACTCCGAATTCTTGCGAATAAGAGCTCGGCAGTCCACCCAGACCTCACTCCTGAGCCTGACAGCATTGGACTATGCTGCAATGTTTGGACACGTTGAATGCCTGCAGCACTTGCTGACCTTGAGGCCGATGGATGCACTACTTCCCAATCAACCAGAAATAGTCGCTTCTCAGAATAAGTCGCTTCATATCGCGGCGTCTTGCGGATGGCTGAAGTGCGTGGAGCTTCTGTGCAACGTGGGAGCAGACCCATTTCAATCATTCGAACAGTATTTGAAGCTCGATCATTCGAAAACGTACGCAATAGTGGTCAAGGACAGTGGAAATGCGTCATCAGCTGCAGCAAAGGAGGGCCACGCTGAGATTTTCAAATACTTCGAGACGTCACATACTTGTGAAGAGCATCGTCGTCGCAACCAGCGCAGATACTCTTGGCAGGGATCAGAAGTACAGGCTCAGGAAGCCAACAGCCAAGGCGCTACTAAAGCCACAGGCGCTGAAGAATCAATATATAAAGGGCAGGAATATCAGGAAACTGCTGCTCCACAACAGTCTCGCCATCAATCAGCTCAAACCCCCTCATTTCGCCATTCAAATACCGGTCCACAACGCTATGCCCTAACTGAAACCTACCGGGACTCTTTAATTTCTCCCACTGCGCCTTTCATGGAGCGGCCTCCTAGGGTTGGGAGCCATTCTGCTACCTTACCTGCTTACTCGAGCCCATCTTATTCCAGTCCAGGATATCAACAGCCAAGCAGGGAATCAAAAGACGCATCCAATTACCAGCTAGCTCAACCATCCCCCTATGCAAGTCTTCCGTACGGGCAGGTTCCATCTCCATATGATCCCCCACAATCATCCTACGGATCTCAAATTGCTGCGCGTCCTCAATCCTACGCAAGTGTGAACAGACCATCGCTGTCATTCGCCTACCACCCTGATAATCGATACCCTCCACCTGTTCCAGCACTCCCAGCGGCCTACTCCTCGGGGTCATATCCCCCTCGACCCCAAATTCTGAGAGGAAATCAAGAACCAACATTCCCGAATTCAAAATTACAAGCGAATCTGCTCCGCATGCTTGGAAGGCTTAGCGATCCTGTTTTGACAGCAGAATTCCCTACAGATCCCGAATTCTCGCATCACGACCCTATTCTAAATTGCCTCGTGTATCAAAGCCGATTGAGTGTGACTGAAAGGAATTCAGTACACAATGTCGATGGCTTTCCTATGTTTGAGCTGACCACTGCATCCGAGCCGAAATCTCGAGTGGCATCGAGTGAAACTCGAACGGTGAGAGGTGCTGTTAGGAGCTCCGAAGCCGTCGCATTGATAGAGGCGGAGAGAGCTGCTCATCACGCGCATCAAATGAGTTCTTCAATTTACGATACTGGGTCTTGGACAATATGGCCTATACCCGCATGGTCTTGACAAAATGGTCTTGAATAATTGGTGAGAAGTCCTCGTCCAACATTACCAATCATACCCCATGGTCAAACCAGCAATCCACGGAGCGGAGACTAGTCCCGGGTTCACTAAGTCGAAAATAATAGCTTCCAATTGCCCATTTGAGGGAGGTGGTAAGCCATTCATGAAAAAGTTAGGAATAATCCAAACCTTGACGTGGTTTGGCTTGCAGCCAAACTAGCTTTAGTGTTATTCATCTCCTATAAGGAAGATCGCCCGGTCACCTGCAGATCCATAGAAAGTAAACATCGTTCTGGAAACTCAAACAACTTACTCCCGGCCGCAGAAAATCGTCGGTTCGGGGATATTTGCTTCTTGGCTTGGTTCACGGTCGTAACCGCCAACATGACACCGAAAGAAATGAGTAAAGAAGGCTTCATCTTCCCAAAAACAGACAGGCTTCTACTTCACACCACCCGATACCACCTCACCGCAGACTCGAGGTTCGATCTCTCGCTCGTCGGCCTCCCACCAAATACTACCGTCTGCATCACGGGCGGCGGACACGGGCTTATGAGCGTATGACGCTTGGATTTGCGAGAGCCGGAGCGGACAGAATTACCATTTGCTCCCGCTCAACTTCTGAACTTGATGAAGTAGCTGCTAAGATCCGGACTGTCAATGGAGACATTAAGGTATCTATTGTGAAATGCGATGTCATGAGCGAAGAGTAGTATGGACGCCTTGGTGTCCTAATCAACAACGCTGGGTATCTCGACGCCAGCTGGCAACCCATTACTTCCAGTTCAGCGGAAACTGGAAACGAGTATGCGGTGTTAGCGTATTTGGTGTCTATCTCGTCACGAGGAATCTCCTTCCGTTGTTGTTGAAAAGTGAAAGGGGACTGAAGACAGTGATTGGTATTACGAGTATGTCGAGCCATTGGGCTGGCCATTCCATTGCGATGGGTATAAGTAAGTTGGCACCGAATCGGTTTATGTAGTTTCTTGGTGGACAGTTTGAGAATAAGGGTTGGTGAGTTATTCGTTTGCATCCAGAGGGTGCGAAGACGAGGATGAGTCAGGAGGATGGGAAGGTGCCGAAAAAATTTAGTGAGTTGACCTATCCTCCATTGTTTGAATTCGTTTGAGATGAGGCAGTGGGAAAGATTGCTGATATGGAGCAGTGAATAATGATTCTCCTGACCTTCGTGTTTGGCGGTTTGACTAGAGAGGGAACTAAGGCCGTTGTTGAATGGGAGGTATGTTGCTTCTAATTGGGATACTGAGGAGTTGGAAGGGGAGAAGTATGAGATTGTAGAAAGGATAAGTTGAAATTTCGTATGGTGGTTTGACCTCGACCCCAAAAGGAATAAGTATCGGGGTAACTTGACGTGGAATAAAGGAAGGAAAGAGGCACGTGAACACTAAGTAGCACAGCAAGTTAAGGGTTCGTCTAATTTTGGGCCGTTTTGCTTAGTCTTTGTGGATGAACTGTTAATTTTTTAGTGAACATAATCGATGGGGGATATTACCACGGGCAATCAGGGGAAGGTCACTAATGGAAGCCGGAACCTCGCTAAAGCTTAGGGGGGTGTGGAGCTGAAAGTCTGTGAAGCCCAATTCTCCAAGGAAAGGGCGACAAAAAAGTCCAGCCGTTTCATACTGTAAGCCACATGAAAGTGCGCAGACCAGTGCAGCCAAAGTTGATGATACTGTTCGCGTATACTATACAAAACTCGCTTCGACTACAGTACAAATCGAAAGTCCAACATATTAATGCTTCTCAATAAGGATCCTCGTTGACGTCAATTCTTTTGATCTTTCGTCTTACCTCCTCGCGGAACAACATATTTGCTGGTTCTAACGAATGAAACCGCCTATAGTATGCTCGCTTCAAGCACATGGAGGATCGAAAATAGTCACTGCAAGCTCTTGCATTATTGAAATCTTGGCCAGACTTGGCAGTACGGTTATATGCAAGCACATCACTTTAATGGGTGCAATGCTCCAGCCACTCACAAACCGTCTCCTTTGGAAGGATTCACTCGGGAAAATGTGTACAGGGCTGGCCACTCAGCTTTCTTTGCTGCAAAATAAGCGTGCACCAGACGGCCCAAAGGATCTGGACAGGGTTTGTCTGCGGGAGATATCAAGGTGTTCTTCTCAATGCGGCGATATCTACTGTTAGTTGATGGGGCTGCAGCTCTTGGAAAGGTGCGCCGTCTTTAAAAATATCTGGTATCTCGGAGGGTAATTAGTCCACCTATAAAATGGGGACTAGCTCCTCAATGGAGAAGTCCTTCACGCGACAACTTGTCAACTCTAACTTCCCCCATCAGTCTCAATCCTTAAAATGCAATTCCAAAAACTCTTCACGCTTCTCATTCTCGGAATTGCTTGTGGCTGTGCTCTCCCACGGAAGATAAGATTGAGGCAATCGCCATGTTAACATTGCCAGCACAGGTCTCAGCCAGAACGCTACGCTTGCAAAACGCGCAGAGAGGGGGCGGATGGTACTATGCCTGGAACTCAACTACTAGTTTCTCTGCTTGGTCCAGCCTGAGTGATATGGGATGTGATGGTTTTCATAAGTCTCCTTCACTCATCCGTTCCTCTTCAATACTTCATCTTCCCTTTCTTCCCCACTTTCCCTCACTGTCTCCCAACCGACTTCCATGAAAATGGTGCTGATGCATTGGATAGTGTCTACATTGAAGCGGAAGCCTATCTCGTCAGAGACGGCTCACCATATGTCTTGAGGTGTAACAACGTAATGGTTGTGGGTACACCATCACTTGTGATTCGAGGGCATATACGAATTCGGGTATTGTCAGAGCGGTTCAGGCACAAGCTTGTGTTAATATACAGGCCTGGAGCTATGCCTGTGGATATAGTAACTCATTTACAAATCCATAATATGGGTGAGGAGCAAAGGTGCGGGTTGAGGAAGATGAGGTTGAGGAAAGGGAGCGGTTTACTTTTATACGCATAGGCTACTAGATTTCACATTCCTAGGCTGAAAAGTTGTTGATATTTTAGGTAATAAAGAAACTTTATTTCGGTATCTCAGTGCATTAGGAGGTTGATTCTAAAATGCTTTTTATATATATGACAGATCTCCGTGCGACCCTCAGTTTATTGTAAGAAGTCATAGATGATATCTCCTCTCCCGCGACCATTAACCGCCCCTCTCCGTCGATCTACACCTGGCTTTGCTTCCATCCTCAATCGAAATCCCCCCAAGACCGTAGCCTCTTGTGCTGGTCGGGTGAACTTAAACTCAGCCACCGTACCATCCCGTTCCAGTCGATGATTCAGGCAGTCCTCCGCCGTAACCCACAAGTAATCTTGATGCTCGTTTAGATCCAACGTCACAACATCCGTGCTCTCGACCTCCACCTCAAACGTGAATTTGCAGATCTTTAATTTCTTCGTGCTGCTATTGAAGACCGCATGGCCATCACCCGGGCCAATGAGGCGGCTCAGCGCGCTCACCCTCAAGCCTGATTCTTCAAATACTTCTCGCCCCATGCCGTGCAGGATGGTATCGTCGGTAAAGTCTATTGCTCCACCGGGGATCTCCCAGAGGTTGGGCAAAGAGTCATGAGCTGCTCGCTGAATTATCAGGAGCCGTTTCTGGCTGTCAAAGACTAGAGCGCCGCCTGCGATGCCATCGTATTCGGGGTGTTGATCGAGGTACTCCTTGAGGGGGATGGCGAACTCTGAGAGAGAGAGAGAGAGTGGGTGAACGAAAGAGGTGAGCTCAGTTGAGGTGCCATCTTGAGTCTTAAGTTCTTGGTTGTCTGAGACGGAAGGCGAAGTTTGGGCTTTTTCTCTGGTGGGTCAAAATCGGTGAGGGAGCTTTGTGGCTTGTGGTGATGGTCTCGGGAGAAAGTCTAGTTGCAATATCAGCTTGCTTACAAATGCTTTGTCGAAGGCGCGCTTCGGTGCTCTTGTTCGAAGTTGTTTGATTTTTTGGAATTGCTTGCCGTTCCTTTGTAAATATATATAGGTGAGGTCTGGTCTTCCATATTCCATATGTGATAGATAAATTTAGGCACCTAGAAAAATTATCAGTGTGATTCACACTCATACCCTAAGTAGTTTAGCTTTATCAAGCTCAACTTCCATTGGCTGCATGTAATCCAAACCACCACAACGCCGAGCAGCAGAAAAATTTTGATCTCTTGCATCACACAATAATGGTATATTCCCGACCGCCATACACGATACAATCTCTCTCTTGCATTTCGTATGTAGTTAATACGCTCGCAACTAAACACCACCAACTCATATTCGCCTCATTAGCTCCACTAGCTCACCTGAGAAGCCGGAGTGGCCCATGAGTATTAAGAGGTTGTTTAGATAGAGTATATCTCCATTAATGTTATTGTAGCTACCAAGTTCCATTCCTTGTATGAGAGGAGATAAAAGACATCGATTCTATTCACATGATTGGCGAGGCTGAGACAGAATATGTAGGCGAAGACACCGTCTATAGGCCCGGTAACTACGCCAATAGTAGGCTGTCAGAAAATACTTCATTCTAATCACCTGCCTCGAGGCTCCCAACGAGGCTCTGTCGTAGATCGCCTAACGAGGCTATGCCACGCACCTTGCAAAAAATTCTGCTGTCGACTCTTCACACTTTCTCCTCTCTGCTAAGTGGAATCACACACTCAAGAGCACGAATTATTGGCGCAGTCACCCTCTACAACGAAACAGGCTCACCCATACACGCCCGAGCGAGATGGCCGAGGTCCTAGGGATCATTTCAAGTGGTGTCGCCATCGGCAAGGCAACTGCAGCCATTCCAAACAGCCTGATAAAGCTCAACGAACTCTGGAATGAGTTTCGGGATGTACCAGAGGATTTAGCATTCCTTGTACGGCAGATCGAGATCTTGCATCTACTCTTCGAAGAAAACGAAAACCAAGTCAGCCGGGCCCGACATATCTCCCCTCCTCAATCTGTGGAACGCGCTATTAAGCTCGTGAATAATGGCGCTCAAGAACTCGAGGCACTGGTTGAAGAGCTACAAGGAGGATTGAAGCAGAGACAAGGGTGGAAAGCAAAGGTTGCGACGGCGAAGGTGGTACTGAAGAGCCACCAGATCAAGAGATGCAAATCGAGGCTTAAAGCTACGGTTACTCTATTGAACCTCGCAAAACAATGCCAGATGACGTAAGTGATCTGTGCAAGTCTTGATTTCTTACTAATGATAAAGTTCCATGCTTGAAATGCAACCAAGCTACTTGGCTTCAATGATGGAAGAAGTAAATCAGTTGCAAAAGATCAGATCAGGAGACACGGACGGCGAAAACGAGTCTTCGTCTTTACAAATTTCCACTAAAGAAACCAAGCACCGTCGTGGCCCTAATGCGGAGCTTGCTTTTCGATTTAAGCTACGTTTTCTCAGCCGACAATGGAACCTTTGTGTGTACCGATCCCAAGTCGGCTGGGATTGTGGATTTCGTACCTGGAATATGGTCTCGGTTGATTCTCCGGTAGCGCGGTGTATTTCCCTTGATGATGTGAATGCGCTGCGCCAGCTTTTCGAGACAGGCGCTGCATCGCCCTTTGATCTTATTTGCAACGGGAGCTCTGACTCCCAGCCAAATACACTTCTCACTGTAAGCACTATTTCTCGGAACATAGTTCTGAAATTGACTTGCTTCAATAGTGTTCTGTAGCTTATGGAAGTCACAAATCTTGTCACTTATTGCTGAATCAAGGATTGAACGCATACGAAGAAAGCATTGAGCACCCCAGGTTAGTTTTAAGCATCTACTCTAGTAAGTATTAAGGACTCACAAGAACAAGATCAATCTTCCTTTTCCTCCTATGGATATCATACCAGAGTGCCGGACGCAACGCTGCACCTGAGATCGGTAGACACCAGATCTATCTATCAATTGGGGAAATGCTGCTACAGAACTTTCAACGTATTGATTTCCGACCGAGCCTCCGTCGTAACGGCCTTGAATATGGCCTTCTCAGTTGTTTTAGGGGAACTCTTGTCGCGTTCCAGCTGATCCAAGCTGCCTATTGCCCGAACTACCACGAGTCATCCTTCGAACACAGAGCCAGAATTGCAAAAGATCTATTACGGTATAACACACCTGACACCACGATGGCAGCCTTAGGTACTATCAGCAGCCTTGGTATTGATCAACTTTTAGCCCCGGTATGGTGGCTGTCTGACACTACGACAACTCTATTTGATGCTGTAGCCTATAAATTCGGCCTTGCACTTTTCGAACCCTGGTATCAACCAAGTTCAAGAGAGGTTTATAAGCCGCTGTGGGATTTTTCTTATGTAGAGCAAGAGAACGGCGTCACTTTCAGGCTTTTGTTTGACCCCGACAAATATCCTATGTGCGGCTGGCAAGCATTAGTTAGACAAATCCTGAATAAAGGTGCAGACCTGAATAGGTGTGGATTGTTTGGCACCCCACTTATTCGGATGTTGAGAGGAGCCTATTCTCTGAGTTGGTGGTATTCGTTCGAGCTAAACGATCCGCTCGGTGACGTTTGTTTTTGCGACCGTCCTTTCCAGCACCAGCACAGAAGAGGAGAGGAAGCATTGCTCACGTGGCTTCAAACGCTTCAAGGATTTGGGATTGATCTGGAAAGGTACGGGAAGACGGAGCACAAGCTCTTCTATCAGGAAAGCTCGTCTTGGAGAAACCTAGAATTTCTCATTCCAGGTCGTGGGGAAGAGGTGTATCCTCTGCGCTTAATTGGATTGCAGGTTGGGCCAGAGCCCGAAGACTGGAAGGTCTGGCTTTCAGAGCCATCTGACGAGTTTGCGGGAGACTTTTGGGACATGCTTGAGCACCCTGAAAGAACTATCCCTGGAGCTTGGGATGATTTCACTTGGTAATTCCATTGCCTAACTTCGAGAGTGATGATCGAAGTAACAGCAACGTAATGATTTTTAATGAAGCTGGAAAGTCACAGTCTGCATCAGCAAACCCAATAAAATGACAGGTGGGTTTAAAATAGCATAGAAGAGCATGGAATAGCTCGTAGTTGGAGTGGTGCAGCGCGACTACATCCCTTCAGTTGAAACATACTGTTTCGCAAGTTTTGCCTCCCGGTAAGATTCACTTGATACACCTCAAAAGTTCGACTCCTCCCCGCGGACTAGAACCCTTCTCACGTTTCCATTAAAAGAATTAATGCTAATTATATCTTACCTTTATGCTGCTGAATTACAAATCCAGGGGTTGTGTGTGTTATTTTGACGTATTGAGAGTGAGTCATCGACATCTAGTAAGCGAAGACGGCTTCTTTCGGCCCCGTGAAGACCCTGTTTGCTCCCGACTTAAGTACGTAAGCGTGGGATGCCTGAGGCCACCAACTGTACTTATCCTCTCGAGGCACACCTCACCAATTCTACATCCTCTTCCTCCCGAACGTTTTCTGGTGAGCGACGCAGGGATTGATTCCAAGCCTGGCACACGCCTCCGATACCCTCTCCCGCTTCCTGAATACCCTCCCCATCGTTTTCTCGACCTTACCGTTTTCTGAATCGTCGATTCCTTGGTGCGATTAATTGCGATTGACGCAACCGTAAATTATTATTACCCTCAACCTCAACCCTGCCTCTTCCGCCTCGGAAACCCTCAAAGACACCTTTAATCCTTCGAATTCTGTCTAAAAACTCTTCGATTCCAATTCTAGATATCTCTAGAAATGTATTTTAATACTATATTCCCTTCTCTCAAGCCGATATATTCCCTAATAGTTTCTCGACTATAGAATAGTCTAATATCCTGTCCCTAAATCCTATTTATTAAGAAATATTAAAAGTATTATTAAAAACCTTTTACAGATACTCTAGAAGATTTCCAGATTATTCTAATAGAATTCCTTATAATTCCAAGTATTTCTCGAATATATTTAATTAGAATTAGAAGATTTAATTAAAAATATACTTCTCTATATAGACTATCTTATTAAGTTCCGAACTTTATAATATCTACTCTATAGTAGACTATACAGATTTATTTAGCTCTATATAGAATTCTCTATTATTGGATTTCTAATTGGAATATAATATCTTATTTAATTAAGTAATTAGAAACCTGAATATTCTTATAGGTTTGCTTTCTCTAATAAAGAAATAACCTGTATTTGAATCGGAATACCTTATTCTTTACTAGAAACTTAAGAAGCTTAGAATTCGATTAGAAATACTAAATTATATTATAATAAAAGATTCCGATAAAGAGAAAAGTAATTTCTTTCTAGATTTTAAGAATTCGAGCTATTATAAAAGTAATATTTCAGCTTTCTAATAGCTTATCTATTTGGCTTATAATTTTCGTAAGGCTTTCTAGATAGTTCTAAAGCCTAAGCTATTTCTGGAAATAATTGAGATATTTCTAGAAGAAGAACTAGCTTATAGACTCAATTTTATATTACAAATTTAGAAAATTATAAATAAGAGATTAGTAGTAATCTAAGCTAATATTAATACTATTAAGAAATAGCTTATCGAGAAATTCCCTATATTTATCTAGAATATTATAAAAGCAAATATCTAGACAGAAATTAAAAATCTTTTCTAAAAAGCTAATAAAGCTTTTATTATATATTACTAGTATATAGTTTCTCTATTATAAAGAATTTATAGTTATAATAAATTCTAGAAAGATTCTATAATAGCTTTTAATAGCTTGAAAACTACTATATTAAATTATATTATTAATATTCTTATAAAGAGAATTTATAATAATAAATTCTATTATTTAGCTTTTTATAAGAATATAGCTATTTATAGAATACTCTAAAAGTTTTATAAAATAATTTAAGCTTTCTAATATTTGATTTCTTTAAAGTATTAAATCAAGAAAACTTTTACTAGTAAGTATTAATTAATAGAACTTAAGAAAATAGTATAGAATTTTACTAGCTATTCTATAATAGTAGTTTTAGTAAAAGTTTAATATAATCTAAATACTTTTAAGAAGTTCTTTTAGAATCCGAACTAGCTAATTTTAAAATTCTAATTAGCTATCTAAACTATTTCAAATATTTCAGTTATAAAGCCGAATTCTTTATAATCTTAGAATATTAGTATATCTAGATAGTTCTAGAATAGAGCCTATTTAAATAACTTTGGAAATTAAAATCAAGTATCTTTTTTATTAGCTATTTAATCTAGCTATTTAATTATTAATAGTTTCGAGACTTTTAATTATTTCAAAAAGTTATATATTAGATATAGGAAATATAGCTATATTAAGCCGGATTATAGAAATTCTATTATTATATACTAGAAATAAAATTATTTAAAATAGATTATATTTAATAGAAATATTATATTATATTATAATTCTTTCTAGAAATCTGAATTTTTTAATTCTTAATATATTTCTTAGTTATATAGCTATAATTTATATATTTCCCTATATAAATTCGAGAATTAGTTTAAATATATTATAAGCTTTAATAAGTTTTTAAGTTTAATAAAAACTAATTTAGAATTATTTATACTAATTAAATCTAAATATAAAATCTATTAGAATACTAATAATATTTTATTTAGATTTGGATATATATTAGAGAAATTAGAAAGCTAGATAGAAACTCTTTTCTATAATACTTTTATAGCTGATTTATAAAGAAAGTATTACTATATAGAAGAAATTATTTTATTTGAGAATAAAAGAGTTAAGAACTATTTAGGTTTCAAGAATTTAAAGTCTATTTTCAAAAAAATTAAATATAAAATTATAAATAGAAAAGATTTTAGTTCTATTAAATATTAAGATTTTATAGATTAATTCTAATATAATTTAAGCTTTTTAGAAATTTTTTAGCTTTTTCTAAATATTTAATATAGTTTATATAAGATTAAAATACTAATTACTAAGTTCTAATAAAAGAAAAAAAAGATTTCTAGAATACTTTAAAGAATTTCTAGAATAATCTAACTTTTTATATTATTTCTCTAGTTTTAGAAAATATAGAACTAGAAAGTTCCAGATTCTATTTAAATTTCTAGTCAGATTTCTAGTTCTTTACTAAAAAAGTATCTTTTATAAAAAGAGATTTCTATAAGCTAGATAGTTCTAAAGATAAGTTTACTTTTATAAACTATAAAAACTTCTATTTTTCTTTAAAGATTTATATTCTAATTAGCTCTAATTTCTATTTAGATAATAAGATATTTAAGATTTCTATTATATTTCGAGTTTATTACTAAAAGAAATATATAAAGGTTTTTATATTTATTAGTATAATTTATAGTAATTAGATTTTAGATATAAATCTAATTTCCGAATCTTTTTAAAAAAATAATAGAATTTATAGTTATTACTTTAAATAGTAAAGGCTAGAATAGTCTTATAATAAATATTACAGATAAGAATTTCTTACTATTTTTAGTTTATATTACTTTTATAATAGAAATAAATAGTATTTAATATTAGATATTTATATTTATTTATCTAGTATTAAAAAGAAATAAAAGAGAATTCTATCTATTTCTCGGACTTCTCTAATTAAATAATATTAATATAAAGATTTATATCTATTAGAATATTATTAAGATTAGTAATTAATCTATTAGTAAGAAATCTATTACTTTATAAAGCTTTATTTTTGTTTCTTTTAAGAAATATTAATTAATTCTATATTTTAAAAGTTTAAATACTAGAAAAATATCTAAAAAGATTTCTATTTATTTCCTATTACTAGATATATAGATTTCGGAAAAGAAAGAATCTATAAATTCTAATAGCTCTAAAACTAATAATAAATCGAAATATATTACTAATAATAAGAGCTTTAAATCGGAAAACTGAATTTTTAATTTAGATTTAAGTATATTAGAAAAAAGCTTAAATAATTAAAGAATTCTATTAGAAATAATTATATTAATTATATATATAGAATTCTTAAGAAATAGAAAATATATAATATTACTAATTTTATTATTTTAGACTTATAAAACAAGTCTATTATATTCGGATTAGAGAATATCTCTTCTAATTTATATTTCTTTTATAATTATTATTATAAACTAATCTTAAATAAACCGGAAAAACTCTTAGAATATTTCAGGTATTAGAAACCTTATATAATAAATAAAGATAATTTTTTTATTCTAAAGAAGTCTTATTATAATTTTATATAGTATTTATATTTTTATTCGAATTATTCTAATATAGAATTACTAGAAACTATTATTAAGAATTTTAAAGAACCTGATTTTAGAAGATCTAGAAAATATTTATTTAGTTAAATATAAATTTAATCTAGAAGATATTTCTCTAGTTTCTAATTTATATTTCTATATTTTATAAATTATAAAATTCAATTTCGGAATCCGGTATTATTTTAATATTATAGAAATTACTACTTATATAGTTACTTTAAAAAATAACTTTTAGAAAAAAAGTTCTTTTATAAAATCCTCTAATAATATCGAATTCTTTTATAAATTAAATAGAATATTTTAGAAAGGAAATAGTTCTAGAAACTTTCTAGTTTAAAATATTTTAGAGATTAAAAGATTTCCTACCGAAAAAAGAATTACTTGCCTTTTTTATTTATAGATTTCGGAGAAATTATTAATAAATAGTTTTAAAGCTTTTAAATTATTCTCGGCTTTATAATTCTAAATAAAGAAGTATATAATAAAGTTAAGAGATTATTATATATATATTAGAAACTAAATACTATTAAATTAAGTTAGATTTCTTTTACTAATTTATATAAATATAAGATCTATCTTATACCGGAAATAAAATTCTAGAATATTTAGTAATAAAAGAAATAGCTTTCTAATTAGAAATATTAGCTTAATAAAACTATCTAAAAAGAAATAGCCTATAAGTTCTTTAAAAGAACTATTATAGTAAATAGAAAACTATCTAATTAGAATATTTAAGTAATTCTAATAAAGAAAAAAAATACAGGAATTATAAATAAATATTAGATAGCTTTTAATTATTAGAATATAAAGAAGATTAATTTAAAGTATTATATTATTTTATTTTCAGAAATATATAACTATTTTTTAAATTCTATTTATTAGTATTTCTTTTAATATAATATAAAATA